CAGAAAAAGAGAGAGTGCAAAATACTGAAAACCTATTTGAGGAAATAATGTCAGAAAACTTCCCCTACCTGGTTAAAGAAATACACTTACAGGTACAGGAAGCGCACAGAATCCCAAACAAAAGGAATCCAAAGAGGACCACATCAAGACACATCATAATTAAAATGCCAAGAGCAAAAGATAAAGAGAGAATCTTACAAGCAGCAAGAGAAAATCAATTAGTTACCTATAAGGGAGCACCCATACAATTATCAGCTGATTTCTCAACAGAAACTATGCAGGCCAGACGGGAGTGGCAAGAAATATTCAAAGTGATGAATAGCAAGAACATTACAACCAAGTATACTCTACCCAGCAAAGTTATCATTCAGAATTGAAGGTCAGGTAAAGAGCTTCACAGATAAGAAAAAGTTTGTCACTACCAAACCAGTATTATATGAAATGCTGAAAGGTATTCTCTAAGAAGAGAAGGAAGAAGAAAAAAAGTATTTGTGAGTATTCTCTGGAGCCAAATTGCATGAATTTAAATCTCAGTTCCACTACCAGTTTCTGTGTAACCCTGGCAACATTACTTTACTTTTCATGGATCTGTTTTCAAATCTGTAAGAAGCAAATAATAGTAGTAGCAGCTTTCTCATAGAGTTTTTGTTATTTAGGAATGTCTGACAATAGTAAGTACTCAGTATTAAGTTGTGGGGTTTTTTTCTCTTTAGTGTTTTGGCTTCCTTTCTCTTGTTTCATTAAGAGCCCTTAAACTTTTAGTATGGTCAGATTTCCCCAATAAGAAATGGTTAACACTCAATCTTCCATTTTCCCTTCACCATTAACCCTCCTGTGTTTTCACCTCCTCAGTTCCCTGTGGATCCTCAGCCCATTACCCTGGACTTCTGCCTCATTCCTCCAATCTCCTGAAATGCTCAGAGGTCCAATTGCCATTTTCATTTGTCTATTTTCAAACTCTCTAGTTTTTGGTATTGACGATCTCCTTCCTCAAAATACCCTCTGTTGGCTTCTGGGATGCTGTTTTTGCCCTTCTTACTTTTTCTTCTTAGCTTTCCTGTAATTTCTTCTTAGTCCCCTTGACTTGTTTTTCTTTTGCTACTTAATGTTAGTGACTCTGTGGTATTCACTGTAGTCCAAAATATCTATAAGATCCATGCTCGTGTTTCCACTTGAAACCTCCACCTTAGATGTCTTATTCCTCAAAATTAACATGTCAGCCCTAGTCGGTTTGCTAAGTGATGAGAGCATCAGTCCTTCAAATGAAGGGTTCGGATTTTATTACAATCCAGGGTACAGACCTTGGTTGCAGGCTTGATCCCTGGCTCTAGTCGGCCCTGGCATTTTTGGAAGACAATCAGTCAATGTGTCTCTCACATTGATGTTTCTGTGTGTCTCTCCTCCCTTCAATTCTAAAAATCAATAGAAAAAAATATCCTTGTGTGAGGATTAAAAAATTCATGCATTGGGGGGGGCAGGGGTGTTCCTCAGCCCAGCTTGCACCTTCTCCAATCTGGGACCCCAGAAAGGATGTCCTACTGCCAGTTTACAGGGATCGGGCCTAAACTAGCAGTCAGACATCCTTCTCGCATTCCGGGACTGCTGGATCCTAACACTCACCTGCCTGCTGATTGTCCCTAACCACTTTGCATGCTGGTATGCTCACCCCCAACTGCCCCTTGCCGCCAGCCTGCTTGCCCCCAAATGCCCCCCTGCCAGCCTGATCATCCCCAAGTGTCCCCTGTACCAGTGTGCTCGCCCCCAACTGCCTCCCCTGCTGGCTTGCTCACCCCAACTGCTCTCCCCCCCCCCCCCCACTGGCCTGCTTGCCCCATCTTCCCTCCCCACTAGCTTGCTCACCCCCAACTGCCCCCCCCCCTGCTGTCCTGCTCTCTCCAAACTGCCCCTCCCCACTGTCCTGATCACCTTCAAATTACCCTCACCAATGAGGTGAGGGGCTGAGGGCTGTTTTCAGGCTGGCCACACCCCCTTCAGGGTGGGGGTTCTCACTGGGGGACAAGGCCAGCCATTAGCCCCTCACCCAGGCTGGCCAGGCCCCCCAGTGGTGACCCTCTCTTCATGGGAGTGTGGCCATCCTGAGTGAAGAGCTGAGGGCTGTTTTCAGGCTGGCCACACCCCCAGAAATCCAGGCTTCCAGCCCCTCCTTTTTTTCTTTCTTTTTTTTCAGTGCCTCCTTGAGCAGAGGCTAGGGCCAGCTGGAAGCAGGTATCTGGGATTTATTTATCTTCTATAATTGAAGCTTTGTAGCCTTAAGCAGAGGCCAGGGTGGGTGGGAAGCTTGGCTTCTTCCATTGCTAGGGGCAACCCAAGCCTCCTGCTCACTCCAGCTCCATGGCCTGGCCACCACCATCTTTGTTGGGCTAATTTGCATACTTGCTTTTGATTGTGGGTGTAGCTGAGTGATGGTCAATTTGCATGTTTCTCTTTTATTAGTGTAGGCTAGTAGAGGCCCAATGCATGCAAAAGTAGGCCTTCCTTCCCTTGGCTGACAGCACCAGCTTCCCTCTGGCACCTAGGACCCAGGCTTTCTTCCCACCACCAGCAGGCATCCTGGACCTGAGCTTCCCTTTCAAAGGGAGGCCCCGCCCACCCACCGCAGCCTGCCGATTGTGGTCTGGGCATCCCTCTGCAAGGCCATCATGGGGCAATAGTCTTGGATGGCCTGGCTTGGGTGTTATAGCATGGTTGTCCAGAAGGATGTCTGGAAAGTCATTTGGTTGTCTGGTCTAATTAGCATATTATGCTTTTATTATAGATAATTCACACATCATAAAGTACAATTCACTTGTTTTCAGTATATTTACAAAATTGTGCATCCACATTGCTATTGTGTTTTAAAACATTTTATCACTCCAAAATGAAAACCCCATATCAATTAGTAGTCACTCTCCATTCCTCCTTCCTCTTAGCTTCTGGAAACCACTAATTTTCCTGTCTATAGATTTGCCTTCTTTGAACATTTTGTGGAAATAGAATCATATAATGGGGCCTTTTATGCCTGGCTTATTTTACTTAGCATAATGTTTTTTAAGGTTTCTATTCTGTAGCATGTATCAGTACCTCATTTTTATGGCTGAATAATATTCTATTGTATGTATATACCACATTTTGCTTATTCATTCATCAGTTTTTCCTAATTTTTTTGCTGTTATAAATTATGCTGTTATTAACATTCATGTACAAGTTTTTGTATGAACATATGTTTTTATTTCTCTTGTGAATATACCTAGCAGAGTGGCCTTGCTAGGTGTTTAACTGCATGTTTAACTTTTGAGGAACTCAGCCAGACTGTTTCCCAAAGCAGCAGCACCATTTAACAGTTCTGTCAGCGATGTATAAGTGTCCCAGTTTTTCAACAGCCACACCAGTATTTATTGCTGTTGTCTTTTTGATTATAGCCATCCTGTGAGTGTGAAATAATAGCTCATTGTAATTTTTCCCTAAGACTACTATCATGAGCATTTTTCCCAAGTGCTTATTGACCATTTTTATGTCTTCTTTGAAGAAATGTCTATTCAAATCCCTTAAATTGGGTTGTCTTTATTTTTATTGTTGAGTTAGAAGGGTGCTTTATATAATCTGGATACAAGTTTTTATTGGATACATTATTTGCAAATACTTTCTCCAGTGTATGGGTTATCTTTTCATCTTACATGTATTTTTGTTTCATAAGCAAATTACTTGACATTAATTTTGGGTTATCAATAATTTTACATTGCTTAGTATTTATATTCTATTAAGTTTAAACTCTTGCTTTATGAAAACTAACATGCAAAACCAAAGAAGTTAATGAAGTAGCACATTCCTTAAAGAAGATGAAGAAATTAAAAACTGGTTTTAGAACTTTTGCTATCAAGATCTTGTGCAACTGCTTTCTCATCTCAAGATAGCAAATATAACATAGTAAAAGGCTTATTTTTCTGGTCAATATAATATCAAATTAAACTATTCTTTGTCATGGCAGTAAACATTTTCTGATGTATTCTTTTTTTATTTTTATTTTTTAAAAATATATTTTATTGATTTTTTACAGAGAGGAAGGGAGAAAGATAGAGAGCTAGAAACTTCGATGAGAGAGAAACATTGACCAGCTGCCTCTTGCACACCCCCAACCGGGGATGTGCCCGCAACCAATGTACATGCCCTTGACTGGTATCGAACCTGGGACCCCTCAGTCCGCCGACCGACGCTCTACCACTGAGCTAAACCGGCTTTGGCTGATGTATTCTTTTTTTTAAATTGAGATATAATTGACATGTAAGTTTAAGGTGTAAAAGTTGTTGATTTGATACATTTTTATATTGCAATATGATTACCATAATAGCATTAGCTAACCAATACCTCTATCACATCACATAAATATTGCATTTTGTGATGGAAATAATTAAGATTTAGTCTCTTAATTTAATTATTCTTATCTTAATTTAAAACTTGGAGATTTTTTTAAGTGTAATTTTAAAGGCATTTGACTATTATGTTACTGGATATTAATCACATAATTTTGAAATGTGAGTAGAACAAAGACCTTTTAATTATTTTATTAGTGAAAGCTATGCCATAGTAATGGAATAATTTTTCCAGCCCAGCCACTCTGACCATCTATTATACATTATGAAAAGAATTTGGGGTGATATTAATAATCAAACTGGAAAGATGACTACTTCCAGTCAGGGCTCTGAGTCACCTCTATAAGAAAAAAATAATCCAGTACCTCAGAAGTACCTTTTTCAGGTTTTAAGATATGAGGGACTGCATAGATGACTCTTCCCTTAATCCCACATAATAGTGATGAATCGCTTATATTTGTAATCTTGTAAATGTTCAGTGACTGAAATTACTGATTGCAGTTTTCCTACTGGATGATAAGTATGCCTTAAAATTTTAATAAGTATATATCAGTCCATAATCAAACACATAGTTTCTATATTTGGCACAGCAAAGGTTATAAGCCTCTTTCTGATTTCCTTTTCTCATCATAGGCCTCAGGAGTGCAAGTTGCTGATGAAGTATGTCGCATTTTTTATGACATGAAAGTTAGGAAGTGTTCCACACCAGAAGAAATCAAGAAAAGAAAGAAGGCTGTCATTTTTTGTCTCAGTGCAGACAAAAAGTGCATCATTGTAGAAGAAGGCAAAGAGATCTTGGTTGGAGATGTTGGTGTAACCATAACCGATCCTTTCAAGCATTTTGTGGGAATGCTTCCAGAGAAAGATTGTCGATATGCATTGTATGATGCAAGCTTTGAAACCAAGGAATCCAGAAAAGAGGAGCTGATGTTTTTCTTATGGTAAGCAGTGATAGAAATATTGAGTCTCTGTAACACTTAATGTCATTGTTAGTTGTTAGCATTTGGAGAGCCAGTATCTGCAGCCAAAATAGTTTTCAGTCAAGTGGTCTGCAATCATTGTTATTTAATTTTTATTTACAAGATTTCTGATAAATTTTTTGCATAGTGTCAACAGTAACAATTTTAAATTAAGAAAGAAAAGAAAAGGTCTTAGCTAGATTGATGTTTGTGGGACCAAAAGTAAATTTTAACTACTCTTTGTTTACTTGAAAAATGACTTTCAATAGTTGATTATTTTGTCAGTGGAAGGATGCAGAGTGGTAGATTTCTATGCATCCTTTAAACTCCTTATAAGTTAAAATTTCTCTAAAAACTCTTCCTAGAATACTGAGAAGAAAGATTATCTCAACAAAATTCTTCTCTAACTTGCAATGCCAGGAGCCAGCCTCCTACTTTTTTAAACATCTATATTTTATTTGTGCCTGTGGTTTGCTACTTTTGAAGTTGATACTATTATTGCCTCCAACTGTGATAGTTCACATTGTCCATAAGAGTAGCCACTAGTCACTGTGGCTAGATATAAAATAATTAAATGCAATAAATTTTATTTGCATTTAATTTAATCAAATGCTCAGTAGTCACATGTGACTAGTGGCCACATTATTGGGTAGCACAGATATACAACATTTCCATCATTACAGAAAGCTCTATTGGACAGCATTGTTCTAAATAGTAAAAAAGTGTTATAAATTGATTTTACATGATTTTCTTAAGTCTATTTAAACAAATTATCCTGTTTTTTTCAAGTAAGTTAATATTTGAGATTAAGTATGAGTTAAAAGTCACACCTGTATCCCTCATTTAATTGTATTATGCTACATTTCTTGATATGGAATTCTTATGTGAGACTATGTTTATCTTCCAGGGGGAAGGGGGAAAGGTAACAGCCTCTGATTTGGGGGATGTGAGGGTGCTCTTGATACTTTGACCTGAGCCAGGGCAAGGCAAAGGTGTGCTTAGCTCTCAGTTGTGTGCCACCAATACCTTGGGATGTGGGGCTAGGAAGTCAAAAGAACTCTGGTTTAAAGGATTGTAACTTCAGGTCACACCTGTTTCAGCAAGCCTGTTGCACTTGACTAAACAAAGATGTGTGAGGAATATAAATATGAGGTCTGAGTGCATATATTAGGGCAACTTACTGTTCTGCAAGACTGGCAGCCACTTATATAATAATAAAAGGCCAAGAGGTGTCATGACCAAAATGACCAAACAACCAGTCACCATGAGGTGCATGGAGCACTTCTTGGGTCCTCCCCCATGGCCCGCAGGCTCCAATCACAGCAAGGCTGGTGGCCAGTGAGTGGGTGTGTGGGCGAAGCAAGGCGGGCACAGCTGCGAGCATGACTGTGAGTGCAGCAGGTGGGTGGGCGGAGCCATGTGATAGTGCGTGGTAGGCCTTTAGTCTACATTAATAAGAGTAAGATGCAAATTGACCATACCTTCACGATGCACACCAGCCGATCAGGAGTGAGTATGCAGATTAACCCAACAAAGATGGGAGGTTAATTTGAATATGCAGGCTTGGAGCAGCCGGGGGTAGGGTGGGGCGCAGGCACTCTGCACTGCCCCAGCTGCTCCAGGTGTCTGGGCAGCGTGGGAAAGTGGAAAGGCAGCTCCGGCCAGAGCAAAGGTGATGCCAGCAGCCAGGGTAAGGAAGGCCCATTCTTGCACAAATCTTTGTGCATTGGGCCTCTAGTAATACATAAAGATAGTAGTTAATGAGACAAAAGGAGCACATTCCTGATTTGAGAGAAGGTGCATTCATTAATCTTAATTTTTGTTACATGCCAAGCATTGTGTAATGGCCTGGAGAAACAGCTATGAGAAAAACAGGTAAAGTCCCTGACTGCCATTCTGGGATTTACAGCTGAGTGGCAGCTAAATAAAGATTTTGACTTAACCATTTATTTATTTATAACTAATATAGTAAGGTTTAGCTTTTAAATTGGTGAATATAGGTAGAGAGAAAGTAGGTTTACAGTTGTGAGTACACAAAACACAGTTTATTCTTGAATTATTATTTATTAAGTAGAGGCCCAGTGCACAAATATGTGCACGGGTGTGGTCCCTCGGCCTGACCAGCGATTCAGGCCTATCAGGGGCCAGTCGGCTGGGGGGATGGACCACAAGAGGTTGGCTGGCCATGGGAGATTGGCTGTGGGAGCACACTGACCATCAGGGGGCAGCGCCTGCATTAAGCGTCTACCCACTGGTTGTCAGTGCATGTCATAGCTACTGGCCAACTGGTTGTTCGGTCATAACGGTTGCTAAGGCATATATATATATATATATATATATATATATATATATATATATATAATTGCATTATTTTCCATACAAACAAATATAAGCCTAATTTTGCCCCACTCTTCCTATATTTCCTTCATTTGCTCCTGGCTTTTATACTTTTTATTAACTATGACAATGATCCTCTACACGAAAAAGCATTTGGAAAATAAAAGTAAAAAGAAGAAAAGGAAATTCCATGTTAGTGCAGTGTTTATTTTGTACTGTTGCTTTTTTAAAGAAAAGGAGAAACCATTTAGAATGTTCCGTAACAGGCTGTTTAAAGGGCCCAGGGAACAGCTCTTACCTAGTGTTTTTTAAATCTGGTCAGAGTAAAATCAGAGCAGTGAATACTTTTTCCTGTTCCTGACCAATTTTGCCTAAGAAAAGTACCCACTTAACTTTGCAGTTCAAACATTGACCAGACCTGAAGTTATTATTATGACTGCTTTGACCTTAGGATTGGGAAGAATAAGCATCTGAGAGCATAGAGACTGTCCTTTTCCTGGTTCCCAAGAATAGAATCTCCACATTGTGGAAGTAGACTAGGTGAGGTCCATGTCAGCCCGTTGTGTTAAGAACTGTAGCATATCCTGGAAATATGGCAGTGAAAAGGAGTTATGTGCTTAAAAGTATTTAACAACACTCCATTTATCCTCTGCTATCTTGGTAGCATGGAATGGAGGAGGGCCTGAGGATAGGTGGTGTTGTGGGGAATGATACATTCACAGATAGTAGTTTGCATAGGATAGGATTTTTCTGTCAATTGTTAATATTTCTGGTATTTTTCAATATTACTGGTGAAGAAAGTGGTAAAGCATATGCAGTGTTCATTCAACATGGGACAAAAAAGTCTTATAGATACAAGATAGTAGTAAATATTGACATATTAAGGCATAGCTATTGCTGAATTGCCATTAAGCTTTAAAAAATATCCTTTTAAAAAATACATTTTATTTATTTTTCAGAGAGGAAGGGAGAGGGAGAAAGTTAGAAACATCGATGAGAGAGAAACATCGACCAGCTGCCTCCTATACACCCCCTACTGAGGATGTGCCTGCAACCAAAATACATGCCCTTGACCGGAATCGAACCTGGGACCCTTGAGTCTGCAGGCTGATGCTCTATCCACTGAGCCAAACCAAGAAAATCCTTCTGTTTTATTGGTAGATTAGGGCAAGAAATCCTTCTGATATGTTTTATTGGTAGACTAAGATGGAAAACAAATAGTCATGTGTCAGAATTTGCTATTGTAATAGACATAGAAGGGGTAGGAAAGGAACTTTTATAATATGTCCTTTTTAAGAAAATTGGAAGCAAAAATGCTAATATTACTAGCATTTCTTAATTTGGAGTGGCATATACTTGACCAAAGATTATTCTTTGTACTTCTCTCTACTTTAAAACTTTTTCTAACCACAAGGGGTTAAATATCTGTCTGTCTGTCTATCTATCAAACTAGCTGCCATAATGACCCTAATCACCGAACAATCGGTCACTATGATTGCCCACTGTGGATCAGGTAGAGGGGCCCCTGGTGGCCAACCTCGAGGCCCCTCCCTGCTGCTGGCCTGCCCCTGATCAGATTCTCCCACCCCCATCAAGAGCCAGGCCTGCTGGCCAAACCTCCCCCCAACCCTCTCCCCGCCAGCTGCACCCCCATGATAGGCCCGCAGCCCCTCCCCTCAGCCTGCCTGCCCTTGATAGCATCCCTCACCCCAATAGGGGGTGGGGCTGGGTGGCCAACTTCCTGCAGCCCCTCCTCCAGCCAGCCATGCTCCTAATGGGCCCCTACCACCCTGATAACCATCCCACCTCAATAGGGGGAAAGGCTGGCCAGCCAACCTGCTCCAGCCCCTCCCCCCAGATGGCCACACCCCCAATGGGCCCCCACCATCCTGATCTGCCGTAGCCCCTTCCCCCAGCTGGCCCCACCCCAGTTCGGACCCCCCTACCTACCTCCCCCCCGCAACTGCAATCAGAGGCAGTGCAGGCCAACCAACCACCCATGGCCCCCTCCCCCAGGCCTCTGGCCCCAAATTGGCACTCCTCACCCACCCCATTCAGGGGCAGGGCTGGCTGGCCCACTGCCCACAGCCCTCCCCATGGCCAGCCCCATCCCCAATCGACCCCCCAATCCCAATCAGGGACAGGGCCAGCTAGGCAATCACCTGCAGCCCCTTCCTCCCAGGTGGCCCAGCCCTGATGGTGCCCTGATCCAGGCAGGCTGGCCAACCTCCCACCATCTCCCCCTGAGAGGCCCTGTCCTGATCTTGAGGCTGGGACGGACAGACCCCACATGTGGACGAATTTGTGCATTGGTCCTCTAGTCTTATATAAAAGTTGTTATTACCTAAACTCAAGTCTTTATTGATTAAAAAAAATTTTATTTTAAAGAAAACAAATTCAGTAATACAATGGATTATCCCGTCAGTGTTGGTTCTTTTATTCTGGCCCCATTAATCTGATTTTTAATCAGTAGTTCTCTACTTTTTCCTCACTTGGTCAACCTGAGCCATTCTGTGTTTGCCACCTGCAACAGTTCTCTATAAGAAGGTGGAGACATAGAAAAATTCTGTAGTTAGGAAAACTCTCCCAAGATAGTTTAAAGACCCTTCTCCATTAGTGATAGAAATGTGTAACATGATGTAAATTGTACTTTCTCTAAACCAGTTTTTTCTTTTTCTTTTCATTTTTGGCATCTCTTTATCCAGGGCACCAGAACTAGCACCTCTGAAAAGTAAAATGATCTATGCGAGCTCCAAGGATGCAATTAAAAAGAAATTTCAAGGTATGGTCTAGATTTGCTTCCAAATACTTAGAGGCATGGTGAGCCCCTGAATTGGGGCTATATCTTTTCTAGGGAGCACCTTATTTTCTTTGGAGAACCATGAAGGGAAGCACTGACAGTTTTGAGAAAAACCCAGAAGGTTGAACCTGGTTTTCAGTGTGTCCTCCACCTTGTGCTGGTCACTTAGGGTCTTCATGGCCCATATTTAATAACCTCATTCTCTCCACATTGTATATCACTTGTTCAAGCTGGTTTTAAACTCGTTTGAAACGCTGTCAAGTTTTTCACATAACAAACGGAGACTAATTGGTTTACATTGGTCATATTAAATGATAAATTTGCTCTTGTCTTTTTAAAAACATATTTTTATTTATTTCAGGGAAGAAGGGAGAGTGAGAGAGAAACATCATTGATGAGTGAGAATCATTGATCAGTTACCTCCTGCACACACCCTCACTGGGGATTGAGCCTGAAACCTGGGCATGTGTCCTGACCAGAAATTGAACTGTGACCTCCTGGTTCATAGGTCGATGCTCAACCCTGAGCCACACTGGCTGGGCTGCTCTTGCCTTTGATTGTAGTTAACATAAAGTGAAAAAGGAAATGCTTATAAATGGGAAAGGATACTTTTATCTCTAGCTTTACTTTGGAATGGTATAATTTTAGGTAATTGACTCATCTGTAGCCAAAGGAAAGTTCCCTCCTTGAGCTGGCCAGTTATGTTTGACTTGCCCACTGGGTGATTGGGATCCTGATGAGATGCACTGACCATACTGTCTCCAGCCAGGAGGAGATGTTGGTATGCTGAAAGAGCATGGGGCAAGTGCCCAAAGGCCTGCATTGAGGGCTAAGCTTGTCATCTAACTGCTGTGTGACCTTGACCAAAACTGCTAAATCTCCTTGGGTCTTGATTCTCTCAGCTGTAGAATGAGATCATCTTGATTGTGCGAGCTTAGTCTTAGAGGGTGCCCTACCTTCTTCCTGCTATGGCTATCTCCAAACAGCTGGGTGAGCCAAGGTCATAAGGACTTGGCCCAGTGTGATTTTTGTTTTGTTTATTTGACTGTGACTGACATTTATGTTCTTGTAGTTGAACAGGTTTGCTCTAGCTGTCTTACTTAGGAAAGCAACATTCTTGCTTTCTTTCCGGGAACCTGCTGCTGTGTAGTTCAGGCCTTGCAGGTTCTCCATGCCTTCAAGTTGATGTTGGCCCATTCCCCAGAAGTGTATTCACCAGTTGGTTAACTGATGTTTTAACATGACTCCTTAGCTTTAACACTTCTATAACATAATAGAAAGGATTCAGGGTGGATTCCTCATCCTCATTCTGCATGACCTTTCAGTAAAAGGAATTGCTACATACACTTGATCTGTTCATATTAATTAAAGATAGCAACTTTGTCACCTTTTTCTAGTGAAATCGTGACTGGTTTTCTCCAATCAGTCTTAGTGTTCCAAAAGCTAGCTGACTTGATATGTTTTTCAGCAGCTTAAGAAATTGTCTTAAAATTACGGAAAATCAGAAACAATGTATAAAAGTTATTTAAGGGATTGTTAATTATAGAGAAGCTACTGTATGTAATTCCATAATTGAGCTTATTCTTCAGTGTGGTGATGTAATTTTTCTGAGAAAGCAATTAGTAACACATTTTACAGTTTCCATTGTGATAGAATTCTTTGTAGAACAAAAGAATGCCATTTTAAAATATTTTTACTCTTTAACACATTTAACTAAATCAACTGCAATCAAAACATCATATTCATATTTTTACTTTTTAAAAATATTGCTAGACTTGCTTTTTAATTTTTTATTGAAGTACATCATATGTATAAAATAGCGTATGTCATAAATTATTGCAGAACTCAATGAATTTTCACAAACTGACCTAATTGTTGTTTCTAGATTCAATGACTAGTAACCCTAGAAATCTCACTTCTGCCCCTTCCAGTCACACCACTTCCATTTACTCTTTCATCCAAAGGATAACAAATATTCTGGCTTCTAACAGCATAAAATAGCTTTGGCTGATTTTGTGTTATATAAATAGAATTATCCAGAATGTATGTTTCAGTCAGCATTGTGTTTGTTAGTCATTCATTTTTATGCATGTAGTTATAGATTATTTATTCTCATTACTGTATAGTATATTATTGTTTGTGAATTCCACAGCTTTTCTATCCATATTGGAATTGGTCTTTTAAAACAGCTTGCTATCTTAGAGAAATAGGTAAACTACTGCCATAATTCTAAATAGAGTTATTTTTCCTCCGTAGGCATAAAACACGAATGTCAAGCAAATGGGCCAGAAGACCTCAATCGGGCTTGTATTGCTGAAAAGCTAGGTGGATCCTTAATTGTAGCTTTTGAAGGATGCCCTGTGTAGATCATGGTTCAGTGCCACAAATCAAAAGCTTCCATGTTTAATGTTATCCTCTTGCTATATAAGTAAAGCAAATATGTTTAGGCCAGAGTCTCACTGAGGGGGAGCTATCTTGTTATCTGTTAGAGTAAACTAAATATTCTAAAAACATGTGCGAAAGGCCCTAAATAAATCTAAAATCTAAAGTTCTATTGGTATAAAATTAAATTCTTATTGGTCAAATGCCTGTTTTGATGAGTTGCTTGTAAAGATTTTTGCTAAGCTCCTTTTAATTAATGCAGTTCACAAAATAGTGCAAGGTCATATGAAGAGAACTTTTGCATCTTTGTTAACTTTAGCAATTACTTTGTTTCTTTAGCTTAGAGAATTGGTCATAATCTGGTTATAATTTTTGCCCAAATTCTTTATTCTCTCTTGAGTGAAACTGAATAATGGAAAATAATTCTCACATGTAATAACACTAATACACTAACTACAATAAGATTAAGTCAGGCAGTCTTTTAATTCTACCAGATGTGTAATGAGACTGTCTCAGAATTGTGAACGCTTATACCAGTAATCAGCGCTGATCTTGCAAAGCACTATTTCAAGCACTTAGTTGGAGTACAGGAAACAACTCCTTGCACCTGTGGTGAGCTCTCCACTTACTAGATGGGAGACTGTTCTGAGAGTGACCTTGCATCTAGAGAATCATGTGTCTTTAGGAGAATGTGCAATATCTTGTAACAACAGATAAGATGCAAATTAACATTCCATTGTAATCCACTTTGTTAATGAAAGTGATAAAGCAGTATATTGATAAGCTGGGACACTTGTGAAAACTTTGTGTCTTCTTCAGAACTTTGTTTCTGGCATAGTAAGGTGGGGAAGAACATTAGGTATATGATTACTCTGGAGCCTGGGAGAACTTCTTAATTTCCTAGAGCAGTTTGTCAACTGTATGTGAAATGGGGAGCAGGTATGACAAAAGCTGACACCCATAGAAAACTGCTACCTGATGACACTTGGATATGATTGTCTTAACATCACAGACATAACACTTTGAATAATATAGAGATGCATAAACAGTTGAACTTAGAAATAGCTATATTGGCTTTATGTAATAAAGGAAGCATTTTTAACTTATTCTCTTGTGTAATTATTCACATTTGAGTTGGGTATAAAGGAAGTTTTCTTCCATATATGGGGCAAGTTATGGAAGTTTGAGTATTTCAGATAATTACAGTTAAGATCACAGCTCCTTCTTCTTAAAAAATGAGAAAGTTGGTATAAAAGTTGGGAATCTTATTCCAAATGTTTATCCAGATAGCAGGTTTTTATCTCCTTTGATTTATTTGGGGTGCAAAAAAAGGCTTTTATTAAAATACTGTTAAAAATAATCTAGAAAATTGTGCTGGTTACTGGTTTACTGATAAGCTAAAGATGTCATTCTTTCATCCCGAACTTCTTATTTTGCTGTTTGCAGTGCTTTTAGTGACTGTGTATATTAACAGGCCTCTTGAGAAGCATTGCAGGCCCAGGGTTGGCCTACTCAGGAATCAGCCATGTAGCTAGAACCAGATATTTGGTCAAGGAGTTTTAGAAAGTATTTTCTGTGGTTTTAGCTTGGACATGCGATACAACTTGGTTTAAGCACCACTCCGGGCAGGTGTGCATCTGTCTGTCTGATGTGTGCTATGGCAAGAATTTCAAGCAGTGTGTAGAGATATAATTGAAATATCTACCAACACTTCACTCTTATTCCAGAAATTGGAAGATGTTCATTATATTTTTACTAGGGCAAGTTTTGAGTGTCTTCTTATATTCATTCCTGTGGGTGGGGCCCAAGAATCTTGCTAAAGAAGCATTCCAGGTCATTCTGATGCCAGAGTTTGGAACCTTAGCTAACATTGGTAAGACTAAAACTGCAGTGTATTCTGCTTTCAGCAAACATATTTACATTTTTTTTCAAGAGTCAACACATGACAAAAATATGTGTGGAAAGCTAAGGTTTTATCCAGTGAGTATTCTTTTGCCCTAATTTCTATTGGTAGCAGATAAAGCTACTACTAATAGAAATACAGAATTTGATTGTAAAGTTTGTTATTTCAGAGAACATTAATCTGAGAAAACAGTGAACACCATGACTTGAATAACAGAATTAGGCTTGAGTGGTTTCTTTGGCATAACTGCCCACAGTGCTGGCTTGGTCCATACCCAGAAGTGCAGCTCTGGTTCTTGACAGTTTTGTTCTTTGAACTGTCTAAGAACACATACATCACTTTCTCATGATTTGGGGCATTTCTGAAATAAAACAGTATCCAAACCAAGCTCCAGTAAAAGGACCTTTAATTGCATTGTGGTGGGGCGGGGTCCAGGCTCAACGTATAATTTGAGCTGTGTGTGGCTGGTCAGGGCGGTCCTGGGCCCTGTGCAGTGCTAGAAGGGTAGCAGAAAGGGGACTTACCCAGCCTGTAGCCAGTGCCCTCAGAAGCCAGCCTGAGGTCAAATAACTTGCATAAGGTCACACAACTCATGAGTAGCAGAACCAGGGCAATTAGGGTCTTGTTTTCTGGTCCTTAGCGCTTCCCCTTGAATCCCTGAAGAGTTCTTGATTTCTAACCTGGACTTCTAAGGCTAGGTCTTATTCAGTGCCATGGATGTGACTTGAACTAGGAAGGAAAACACAAATCTTTTGGGCTTTGAATCTTGTTAAACCCAAATCTGAAAGAGGCTTAGAGAAGGCATTTGTGGAATGTGTCTAGTCCCAGCACTGCTTGTTGGTGGTCTAAGTGATTTTCAACCTGTGCTGCAACGTGTACTACTTATTTGGGGGCACTGACCTCTTTTCCCTTAGATTGTAAATGACAACAGCCATCTGGTATGTATGAATCAAAATTATACCTATTTTTGTCAAGTCATCAAAAATCAATTTTTGGTGTGCTGCAGTTTTAGGAACTAGTGTATGTGTACCAGGGGATGAGAAAGGTTGAAAATTGCTGGTCTGGATGAGCAGTAGCTCTATGCCCAGGCCGTGGCCTCAGAAGCCAGGCTCTGGGAGAGGAGTGCTTCCTGTTATCAGGCCAGCCATAGCCTTTTAGTTGGCAAATGCTTCAACCCAGCCTGGGTGATTCCTGCCTACACACAGCTTTATTTCAAGTGACGACAAAGCCAAGGGTCCAGTGCTGTAGGGATGTCGCGCTGTACTTACTGGCCAACACCAGAGAGTGGCCAAGACTGAGCCAGGCTCCCACATGTCAGTTCCATATGGTGGGACACCAGGGGCCTGTCAGCCTCTTATGTTGCAGTCTGCTCCCATACCTTCCTGATTGTTTCTTTTCTCCTTCCCCAGCTTGATGAAGCCTTGCCCAGGAACAACCCTAGCAACAAGGCCAACTGAAGCCTGGCACATTGCCTGGCAAACTTGGGCTCCCTCTGCTGGCCTGGGAGATGCCACTGTTGGGCCTCGGGGCTGTTGTCCTTGCTGGGTTGGAGGGAAGAAGGCCTGATGATAGGCCCTCAGAGCTTGAGTCCCAGGTAACATTTTCCTGAGTCTCACTGAGCTTTTTTTTTTTTTACCTCCTCCTCACAGACAAACACTGGGTCCCCCCCCAGGTGGTCTGAGAAGGGAATAGCGATTAACCAAACCGCAAAGCAGCCATTTCGTACCCCCACGGTTTCTGGTGCCTTTCCCTTCCCCGAGGTTGTTCCATTTCTGTGCCTTCAGAGAGCATCTGCCTGGCATAGGAGTTCTCATTTCTGCACTCAGTGAAGCAGGGTGGGGGGCCAGCCCTCCTGTGCTAAGCCCTCCTGCGGCACCGGGCACACAGAAAGTAGTGAGGGGCCACAGGTTCATGGGGCTCAGTGCCACTCTTCATGAAGTCTGAACATGCCAGATGACATTCTCCTTCCAAACGACCCCAGGCTGCGTGCTGCATTGCCAAGCGTTAGAGATGGGTTTGTAACCTGCCTTTTACTTGGTGAGTTATCTTCTTTTCATTGGGATTGCTTGCAAAAATGGGAGGTTCACCTCCCATGCAACTGCAGGATTCACCAGAGAGGCCAGAGGGTAGTAGGTATTAATAATGGTCACTACTTCCTACTCAGTCTCCTGGCCAGGAACCATGACATCCATGTCCCAAGTCCCCTGGGCTAAGTTCTAGAATAGGTACAATTGTCTTCCCTTGTCTAAAAAACCTAGGTGGCTCCTACTTACGGCCCTGCCTGTCCATATTGTAATCTGTCCCCTCAGCCTGAACCCTTCTTTCCTTCCCCTGACAAATGCCTTCTGATCTGGTTAAGTCCAACTCCACCTTAGGCTCATTTCTCTGGGAGACCTTCCCAGAATTTCCAGCTCCCTGTTTCCAGTATAACTGCAACACACAACGCCACACAGCACAGGGAGGTGGCCCACAGACTTGGCGCTCCAGGAGAGCTGGGACCACAACTTGGTGTGCAGGTTAAGATCAGCACTGCGGCTCCCGGCAGATTCTCAAAGTGTGGGGGCTGAAGGCAGTGAAAGGATACACAGTGTAGTACTTCCCAAGGTCTTGAGGTTCTCATGACAACCATGCCAGAGGAGTCTAACCCACCAGCTGAAAGGTGCCTTTCCTTGGGAGCTCATCATCCCCTCAGCCATCCAAGTGCTCACTCCCCAGCCAATGAGACCCCCTCCCAGGATGCTGAGGGTTAGGAGATGGACATGGGATTGTGCTTAGTTCGGGCAGTCCCTTAACAGAACGGCTGACATCTGCCTACAAGAACCCAGGCAGCTGTTTCACCATCCAATCCTGGGGTATTTCAACTCCTCCTGCAACCCAGCCTCTAAATGCATTTTTTGCTTAAGCTCCAGCTTCCTATTTCTTACAAAGTCTCCGACACGCCTTTTGGCCCAGTGGTTTTCTGGACCGTGCTGTGTTGGGCCACAGAGGGTTGAGGATCCCAGGAAGTCTCAGCTGGATGCTCCAGCCCTGGTCTGCCCCTCCTGAGACATGGATGTTTGTCCACGCCCCAGCCAGAAAGAGAGACCTCCTTATTCACTGAGCTCATAGCGCACAGCAGCCTAGTCCACCCCAGCCCTAATCAGGTAACCTCAGATCCTCAAAGGTGGGGACTACAGTCAGTGCATCTGGCCACCTGGCATCCAGGGCCTGCTCCTGCCTGCTGGACAATGGGGCCTGGGAGGCACTATGGGGAAAGTGCCGGGGACCAGGAAGCAATGCATTTCATCCCCACCTGAAGCCGAGCTGCCAATCTCTGACTTCAGAGAACAAGAACCACACTTGCTCTCTCTCCTAAGGGGTCCAGCCCATCTTCATTCCTCGGTCCAGGCCCAGAAGCCAGCATGGAAGCCCCAGCAGAAGAGCAGATGAGACCGCAGTGCCGGGCAACAATGTTGATTTTAATGGTATAACATCCAGGAGGTCACATATCAGTTCTGGTTGGCAACTTCTTCCAGGGGTGAGGGGCTGCTGCCTGGCTGGGCTGGGTCCCTCCAGTCCGTGCCACAGCATTTGAGACTCACCACCTGGTCTGCCCACCTCCCGGCCCCCGACCCACTGAAAGACAAAACAATTGCACTGATCTCGACATACAGACAGCCAGAGGTCCCGGCCTCCCCAGCACACACCCGGGGTCTGTCACAGCTGATAAGGGCTTTGGTGTCTGCTCTGTGGTGGTCCAGGGATCGTCCTGGGGAATAGTGTTTATCGAATGTGACAGGTTCTTTTACAAACGGGGGTTCTGGAACACCTACTTCTGTGGTTCTAAGAGACTGTCTCTAATGGCTTCTCTCAGAGCCACTGGAGTTGGGCCTGGATAACGCTGTGTTGGTTTGTGTATTTTTAAGGAATGTATAAGGCATTTTGGTAAGTTGAACAGTAACTTCTTTTTCCACAGAGGAAACTCAGACAGAGGTGCCTTCCTTTGAGCTGCTACCATCATCCTGTGAACAAAGGGCAGAGGGAGGGTGATATTAGAGCCAAGGAGCAAAAAAGACTCACCCCAACTCCTAGGGACCTCCAGTTCCCCTGGGTTAACCTTCCACGCCCATCAGAAAATACCCAGCACATCAGAGAACCAGAGCTAACTCCTGGGGCTCCCACTCCTCAGGGTTTGTGGGAGCTGAGAGTTCCAAGTTTGGGTGAAGACCTTGATCCCACAGGCCTTAGACTGGCTGTGTGTGTGTGTGTGTGTGTGTGTGTGTGTGTGTGTGTGTGTGTGTGTGAGAGAGAGAGAGAGAGAGAGAGAGAGAGAGAGAGAGAGAGAGAGAGAGAAAGAGAGTGTGTGTGTTAAGAGAGTTACAGACTGCTTTTCACCAAAGAGACCCATGGGTGCTGCACATCCTGATGCTACCTTCAGAAGTCTGTCCCCACACCTTCTACCCCAGGTCTGTGACTCCTTTTGGTCCTGCATCCAGGAGTCCTGGGCCTCCAGCACCAGACCCAAACCCTTCCCACCAGCCGTTGAGAGCCAGTGGCCCTGCATGGCTAGGATACTCACTGATTTGTCCAGCTGCTCCTGCAATTTCTTCACTGTCTCTTTCTCCTTTGCCAGCTGCTCCTGGGTTGTCTTCAAAAGCCCCTGTAATTTGGTGGCTGCACGTCCCAGGTCACTCGTTAACTTCTTCTCTTTTTCTAGTCTCTCCTATGGATCAGAGGGTTGAAGGGGAACAGCCTGCACATTGGGGAGGTAGGAGGATGCTGCCTTCTGCTCACCAGACTGGTGGTGATGATCGGGAGCTGACAGGTTACCATTAGGCCTGTGCCTATCTACCAGCACTGCCAGCTGTGACGGTGGGATGTTCTGATGTGCACAGTACAGATGTGGCTGCTAAACATGTGCAATATGGCCACTGCGACTGAGAAGCTGAACTTCAAATTGTGTTTCACTTAAATTTAAAAAGCCACAGTGACTAGTGGCTGGCGTATATGACACTGGAGGTTTGGGGACTACCCTCTTCCCCCCCAAACACCAAATTAGGCTGCATCTGCCCAAGGGGCTACAGGGTGGCTTCTCTTCCATTCCTGCTTCCGGTGATGACAATGGGAAACCAGTGCCCAGAGCTGGCTCTGCTCAAGGAATGCCCTTCTACCTTCAACTGTGTGGCTGCCTCTGCATCTGCTGAGTCCAAGGTGCTGGCACGGAGCTTCTCCAATTCCTCCTGTAGCCGGCACGCTGCATTCTGAGCCTTGGCAGAGAAGGGGCAGAGGGCTTACGGCATGGGGTTGGGGAGTCACCTCACAAACCCTCAACTAGCCCACTTGAGATGGAAGGGCACCCAGCTTGATGGGACAATAGTTCCAGCCTCTGGACATGAGGCAGGTGACCAACTGCACAGCAACAGCCCCAAGGGTAGGACCTTCACTATCCCCAACACAGCTGATGGCTCAGCACCCCCAGGCAGGGCCTCACCTCCTCAAACTCAGCTGTGAGCTTCTGCCGCTGCGTCTGCTCATCCTCCAGGATGGCTTCTGTCCGCTCCAACTGCGTCTTCAGCTGCGTGGAAACACCCCAAACATCCTTTGGAACCTGGTGAAGGACTCTCTTGGGAGCCCAGGGCTCCTGGGAAGGTTGAAACCTGGAGGCTCCACCTTCTAGCTGTTTCTAGTGTTGCTACCTCTCCCTGCCTCTGTCCAGCTGGAGTGGCCTCTGCCCACCAGCCAGCCAACCAAGTTGATTCAAAAGCTCTCCCTTATAGGGACATGGTGCCTCAGCCTTTGGAGTACAAAAGCTGATGTAGCTGAAGGGAGATGCTTGTGGGACCTCTGCTGACCTTTAATGAGGCCCAAGGACAAGGATGCCTCAGAGTCACTGGACAAGCCCCGCGCCACAGCAGTCTCCCCATCCAGCAACCAGCCCACTGCCACTCTGGTGATAGGCCCCTGCCTCCTGGAGGTAAGGGCTCTTGGTAGCACCTACTTGGGTCAAAAGTTGGAGAGCAAGCACCCTGCTAGTGATGCCTCTGCAAGGGCCACAGTGGGAGATCAGACCTAATCACAGGCCTGGCTTCCCCTCCTCCCTCTTCCATTCCCCTCTGCACATGTTGTTAGATCAAGCCTCTAACACCCCACCTGGACACCTTCCCTGCCCTTCACCTGCTCTGCAGCTTCCTCAGGCCTGGATAACCCACTCCCGAGTATCGGGGCAGAGGGGTGGGAGGACAGGCAGTGGAGGCTGCAAGTAGCGAGTATTTAGCCAGAACTGAGGCCTGCTGTCCCTGCACTCCAACGGGTGGAGAAGCCCGGGGGTGGTTAGTGACAGACATCTGAGGACCAGCTCACCGCCCTAACCTCGACAGGGTCCTGCTCTGCTGGGGGGGCCTCTGGAGACCCAGCTACGTCACCATCCTCTACGTGGCTCTTCATCTCACTCAACTGCTGCCTGACCTGAAACAGGGAGGGGTGGGTTTGTGCAAATGCCCAGCCGGACGCACGCCTACCTTGCACACACATACAGACCCCCCACTTGGGAGGGCCACAGATGCTCTCAACATCTCAGGGCACTTTGTTTGTTACTGTGACCTGTAACCAATGAGGGGTCTTGACTGGCCTGACGCATGTGTTCTGCTCCAAAACCAGCCGGCACAAAACCCTCCCCAGGAGCAAGGCGACCCCTGGAAGACGCAAGGCACACACAGTGGAGGAACTTAAAAGGGAGTGAGAGGTGCTGGCAGGCTCAGCATGCATCACACTGCCTCGGTCCTGGATTCCTTCTAGACACAGACCACTGTTCAGAGCCCTTATGGGGTCTAGAAGAGATTACAAAAGGACACTTGTCTAATAAGGTTCCCATACCTCTGAGCTCCACTGCTGGGGACAAATGACACATTAGTGATCCCCAAGCCCTCAGACCATTGAGCTCAGATCTGAAGAGACAACAGCATCATCACCCATGAAGCTCAGATAAAGGTTCCAGTTAAGAGGTTTAGGTGGGCCTTTGGCCAACCTCTCTAGGAGACATTGGGTAGTCTCAGACACCCCAAGTGTGGGCCTGCTCCCTGGCTTCCTTCCCTTCCTCCCAACAACCCCTAAAGGCAGATGCCAAACTGCCTGGACTAATGATGAGCACTCAGGGACATCTGCTCCACACGTGCCCCCAGCCTGGGCAGTGCCCCGGGAGCCTATCACCCAGATCTTGCTTTAGGAAGTGGTCCTTGGGCTCAGGCGGTGACTCAGTCTGGATGACACCCACTCTTTGGTGCAACAATCCCAGGTAAGGCCCCAGGGAGTCAGGAGCATGTGCACCATGCAGGGGCTGCAAGCTCAGCAGATGCTGCTGTGGGAATGGCAGCCCATGCATGAGACTGGTCCCCTCACAGAAACCCAGACACATCCATTTGTGTTCAACATCTCCCAATTTCTGTCAACTGGTTCAGAATTATTAAAACGACTGCAGATAACACCACATGCCTGTGGCCTTTCAAGCTGCTATTTGCAGCCCCAGCTCTGGAGCTGGTATTGGGACCAGTGGGCTTGCTTCTTTAAGGCTGGGTTGACTGACAGGGAGTGGGGACTGTGATCAGACACCAACACGGAAAACTGAGAGGGCCCAGAAGCCAAATGCACACACAGAGCTCTGCAAATCTGCTTCGACTGCCAGTTGCAGAGCAGGCCTCCCAGCCACAGGCTGGATAGAACTGGTCTCAGCCTCTGCTGCAGTGAGAAAGGTCTGAAGTCGCACAGAGGGCAAGGCCTGTGCTGACAGCCCTGGGGGCAAACAACCCAAGCCCAGAAGCTCCAGGTAGCACTGGACTCAGGGGAAGCCCTCCCTGAACACCCAGCTCTGCCCCAGGAGACATGGGAAGTGGGGCCTGAGCACACTGGTCCCAGCAGCCACAGGCCCAGCTTAGAGGTCTGAGCAAATGTGCAAGGAGCCCCATAAGCACAGCCCAATCAAAGCCTGGCCCAAACACCAAACTGGTGCACATGGCCCCATCACCTTTGACAGGATGTACAAGACTGGAAATTAATCTCTCTCACACACACACACCCTCACGCTGCTGTCCCACCCCATGTTCACTCACCAGGGCAAGCTCATTGCTCTGTTTCTGGGCTTCACTCTTGGCTGCATCCAGTTGAGATTGAGATTCTAATAAAAGTTGCCTCAACTTGAGAAGTAAAACAGACCCAGGTAATGGGGGCAAAGGATAGAGAAGAGAAAACCGCGCCTGTGAGTTAACACCTAAACACAATCTGCTATATCCCTGTAACCCAGACCCTTAAGAGCATGCAGGGCAGAGTGAGCACGTGGGCTCCCAAGCCTCCAGCAGCTCCCATTTCCTTTCTGAAGACTTAGGAAAAGCTGGCATTCACAGTCTATCTTGTCTGGAGCTTTGCAAATGTTTATGGACTGTCGTGCAAAATAAGGCCAAAGGTTTGAGATCAAACCAGAATTAGGATGCCAGGTTTGTCCTTTCTGCTTCAAAAATCAGAAAACAGTATCAGACTGAATTCCATTTTCCCCAGTATGGTGTCACCATGCCAGGTGGAGAATTCTCAACCATCCCAGCTCACCCCTGCCCTGTTGGCCCAAGGCCTAGAGCAAAGCTGGAGAACTGGGGCTTTGAGCTCCTGTAAATGAGAGCTGCTGAGGAGCCGCCTCTGGGCAGGCTGGGACCCTGGGAAGACTCACCCCAGCCACCTCCTGTGCATAGTTCTGGCACTCAGCGCTAGCGGCTGCCATGTGCTTCTCCAGCTCAGCCTCCAGATGCGAGGTGTGCTCCCTCACCTGGACATGTCAGAGGCCAAGAGTCAGCCACTGGGGAACAGGGTGATGGGCAACAGATGGCTGGCCCTGAGATAAGGGCTAATAGAAACCTCCATAGCCCAATGACTATGGAGCCAATCAAAGCCAGGCAGAAACAAGTCCAGTCCATGGCAACAGAACCCCTTCCTAAAAATTCTTCCTAAGCTCCAGTACTCCTGGGTCTGTGTTCTCAGCCCTCAGCAGTTGGGGAGAGGACTTGCTGAGTGGATATCAGGAGTACCTTCTTCATAGCCAGGGCTGACAATATGTCTCCCGACAGCAGTGTGCCCACCTCCGACTCAGAAGGCCACTGAGAAACCACTGCTCACCAGGGCTGAGCATTCTGCAAACAGCCCATGTGGTCTCAAACAGCTCAGGCTGTAAAAGGCCCTCAAAGGAAAAGCAGGGTTGATAAGATTCCCTAGCCCCGTGGTTGGCAAACTTCGGCTCGTGAGCCACATGTGGCTCTTTGGCCCCTTGAGTGTGGCTCTTCCACAAAATACCACAGCCTGGGTGAGTTTATTATGAAGAAGTGGCGTTAGAAAAAGTTTAAGTTTGGTCAAGTCTATTATGAAGAAGTGGCGTTAGAAGAAGTTTAAAAAATTAGGTTCTCAAAAGAAATTTCAATCGTCGTACTGTTGACATTTGGCTCTGCTATTAAGTTTGCTGACCATTGCCCTAGCCACTCTTAAAACACGTGGTCCACAGAGGAAATAACTAAGGTAGCCTCATAATAACGCTTCTCAGTAATAAGGAAAGTAGCCCTCTAACCCTCCATACGCACCTGATCTGAACTTTCAAGTTCTCCTTTTAGCTTCTCTACAATCTCTTCAAGATGTTTCACCGTGACCTGTGACTACAAGGTAAGGGGAAGGCATGTGTCAAACTTGAGCCCCATCTCTCAGGAAGCCCTGTGGTGCCCGCACACTCTGAGCATCACCCCACAGCCTCTTCCTGGAGGTAAGCAGGGGGAAAGGTGGTCTCCTTGAGGTTGAGGACATCTCTGTCATTCTGCAGTTGCCTATAAATATGGCATCACCCAAACCCAGCAAATGTGACTCCTGTCTCCCAAATGATGCTATTGGCTTTCCCCTGGATTTTACGGAACTCTGACCCATCTGTCTTTCTTAAGTAAGTTATGTTTGGATTCCTAGGAAGGTGGACCCCTGGAGCAATGCTCTCGTCACTGGGCCATGGCGAGAGGCATAGGACCTTGTACCTTTTGAAGCTCCTCCTCCGTGGTGCTGACTCTGGCCTTCCACACCTGCTCCTCCTCCTCCACACTCTTCTGCAGGTGTCTGAGCATACCCTCCTGGGGGGACAGGCAGTGAGGCAGGGCCCTCTCTCCGGAGGCCCACCCCACGTAAACACACCAGAGTCTTCCTGTCCCTCAGTCCCCCTGTGATGACTGGCTGACTGCCGTGTGGCCCTGCTCTGATTTGGTCGGTCAGTGTCACATGAGGAAAAAGGTGGGCCACAGTCCGGGAGTGGGGACGTCCGGCAGGTGTGTGAACAAAGGCTGTGGGCCACGCATGGGAATGAGGCCTGTGACCCAAATGAGGCCACAGGCCTCATCTCATCTCAGCTGAGTCTGCCAACCATGCAACCTCAGTGGCCCAGCATGAGGAGCACAGGAGGGGCCAGCACTGTTCCTGAAACCAGAGGCCTCAGCTTCAAGCCAGCTGTCAGCCAAATGGTCCCGCCTTCCGTTCCCTTCCAAGAATGTTCCTTGTTTTGACCAAGTCTTTCTGTCCCCTGAGAGCAGCCCCAAACCTTCATCCCCGCCCTCATCACAGCTTAGGAGTCATGAAGACCTGGATGCCTGCCTCATTCCTTTTACCATTCAGCCAACAAAATGGGGCCAGACTGGGCAGTGACTTGCCCAAAGTCCCACCGAGCCTGCATCTGAATCTAGGGCTCTTTCCCTTACTACCCTGCCTCATGCCCTGCAGGCCCAGACACCCAGCCAAAAACCTAGCTAGAGGCCAGCCCTTGTGCCTTACTGTCTCTGCCAGGATGGTGCGGTACTGGTCACACTCGGCCTGCAGGCTGCTCTGGGTTTCCTCGGCCTCCCTCAGCTTGGCGGCCAGGTCCTAAGGGCAGAGGGAAGTACAGGGGTCTGTTTAGAGGTTTCTCCGGAGGCCTGATGAAACTCCTCCCTTCCTGCGGACAGGAAAGCAAGGGGCAGCCCCACGAGGGCCTGTATGCCATGCTTACCGAGGGCGGCTCTGTGTTCACTGGCAGCTGCTTCAGCAGCTCCGGGCCTTTCTCTTTGAGTTCTTGGAGCCACTCAGTGTAATTCTGCAATGTGAATGTGCAAAGGGGGCTCAGTGACATTCTTGATGAGCAGTGGGGTCTAAGGGAACAGCCCCCCCTTCTACCTGGTGGGCTGAGTTGGAAAGTGCTGGGAGCAGAGCCAGCAGCGCCTCCTTGGTCTGGGCCTCAGTCAGCGTGAGCTGCTTTTCAGATTCCTCCTGCAGGGGGTAAGGCGATTCTCAGACATGAAGGTTTAGGGTAACTCCCGGGGGGCGATTGCGAAGGGTGTCCCCAAAGATGCTGGGGTTTCCACCCCAGGAAGGGGAAGGAGGAGAGTCAAAGGAGGAGGTGGGCAGCTTCATGGGGTTGATTGAGGGGGCGGTTTAACCTTAGTGGCCATTCCTGGCCACCTAGCCTGTGCCTGCTCTATTTTAAACAGATTAAGCTCTAATAAAGGGAGACAGCAGGCTGGCCCATGTGGCAGATTTGGGTTAGCCCAACACCTCTCCACAGATACTCAGGCTAAATCAGTTGTCTATTTCGGGGGGGGGGGGGGGAGGGGCGGAGTTCTGAGCTGCTGTGGGAGGTGACAAGGAGGCAGAGATGTATCTCCCAGTAGCCACCAAAGTTAGGAGCTACTGCTGGCCAGGGGTGGCGGGACACCTGGCAGCATTGGGAGAGGGAGAATCAGTATTCCCACTTTGCCTATGCCTGGGCCATGCCACACCAGCGGCCTCAGCGGTCCTCCTTAAGGCTCCTCTTCAAAACATAAGGACCAAAGTAGCTATAAAGCAAAGCCTAGGACAGCAGCGCCCCCTGGAGACAGATAACATCCCCTCTCTGCACACTGTGGGGGTGGCTACAGGAGATTTCTGGCTAAAAGTTTTTCTAATAACCACAGCAGGTGGACCTACTGCCACAGCCACATTCTCCGCACGCACGGCCTGGGCCCAGGGGCAGCACTAGGGCGCCGCCTGGGTAAGAGCTGTGGCTGCTGTTCTGCAACGTGCACACGGAGGGCCGTCCACAGACACTGGCTGGCCCACAGCACCCACCTGGTCTGGAAGTCTTAGAAGCAGACCCTTCTTGCCTCACCAGTGACCCAGAGACAATGCCTGCCACAGACCCCAACCTCATGACCACCATTCAGGCCCCCAGTCGTGGGAGTTCAAAGCCAGAGCCCAGCTCTCGTCTTTATCTGGCTGCGTGACCACAAGCAAATCAGGTGACATCTCTTGTCATAGATTCTGCATTTGCCACAGAAAGGCCAGGCAGGCTCTCAGGTCACCCAGGGGAGTCTAGGTACAGCTGCCACAATGGGACCCGAGGCCAGCCCTCCACCTCCCTCGTCTCAGAGGCTTCCTGAAGGTTCGCTGCAAAGGTCTTGTAAACAGCAAATATGAGACATGATGGGCGAGGCCTCCACTTGCTGCTGCTGCAGGCCAGGCCTGGCTGGAGCCTCAGCACCGGCTCCCAGCCCACAGCTTCAGTAGTGATGTGAGGGAGATGCCTGCCTTCTCCCCAACCCGGGTTGCACAGAACCCAGGACCAACGTGGACTTCAAGGCCTACCTGCTGCCAAAGACGTCTTTCCCCTCTGTGACTTACTGCAGAGAGCAATCACAGGGCCTACTGCACCATGACTCACTGCAGAGGGCCTGAGAAAGCAGCAAGATCGGACAAAATATCAGGGTTTCAAAGCCGGCCCAATGCTGAGCTCACGGCCTCTACGGCCCATCTCTGCCCCCTAACAGCAAAGAACCCAGGTGAGACAAGGCAACCAAAAGTACGTTTACACCTGTTATCTTAGGGTGAGCTCAAGGAGGGGAGGAGGAAGATGCGGGCCGGCACGTGTGCTGCCCTTGAGCAGGACCCGGTTGTGGACCTCTGAGATGCGCCAGGGCCAAGGCTGTACTGCGCGCAGTTTGTGAGTTCTGTGGTTGGCTAAACTATGCAGGTGCTGCTGATTGAGTCTTCACTATCAGGCTTGTCTAAGGCTGGCACTGACCTTGGCCTGGGTCAAGGAGCGCAGCTTCTCTTCAAAGGCTCTCTCCGATGAGGCCAGGGCCTCCATCGCCTTCCAGTTCTTCTCTCGGAGGTCCTGAAGGGGAAGATGTGGAACAGTCAGCAGCCAGGCGGGGCAGCATCCTACATATCCCGCAGGAGCTGCCTCAGGGGGTCTCAGCAGGACAGAGGCCTGCAAAGGGACAAAGTGCCCTTCCTCTTGGGCCATACCCACTGGGCTTCTCTGGGGCAGACAACACAAGGCCAAGGTGCTGCAGCCCACTATGGGGTGGCTGTGGCACAGGGCGTGAGGCGGGTGGGCATCTTTTCAGGGAGATGCTATTCTGGAGGAGGGAGGGCCAGCCTGGCTCCTAAGAAAAAGAGGTTCCTGTCACCAAACAGTAAGCACTGACCCCTCGGCTGGCTCTGGCCAAGCCAGATACATGGAGGTACAAGGAGAATCTCTGGGGAGAGCAGATAGGGCTACCCGAAACAGGCTCTGTGAGGGGCGGTGGGTGGGTAGCCGGGTGAGGAAGATACAGCCAAGGATCCTCTTCTCATTACCCCCTCCCTCTCTCCCACAACACAGTACAGGAACTGCCACATTCCATTTTCCTGACACTAGCCTCAAGATGACTGACCATGTGACCCCAGCAAAGTGGCCAATCAGCACATCTCTGTCCTCATGGGGGTTCCGTTTCAGGACACATGACCCAAGCTGATCTAAGGGGATTCTGCCCCGGGACTCGGATGGACCCCACAGCAGGCTTTCAGCAGTGAGCAGCACAATGCAATGGCATGTAGAGAGGCTGCTAGCGTCGTCGTCCCCCAGCCCCCGTACACACGCCCAATACTCACATTGTTCTTCACTTTCTGCTGCTCAACCGCCTCTTTGAGCTCCGTGGCCTCCTTTTCCAGGCATGATACCTGGGACTCCAATTCCTTGAGGCTGAAAGGAAATAGTGGGGTCACTGTGGGCTCAGAGGGCACACAACATCCACAGTCTTGTCTCGGGAGGGATCCTTCCTCTGTCTGGGTGCCCACCCTAGCCAGGAGCACCTCCCACTCCCGACTTTCCCAGGGCACAGACTTTTGGGAAAGATCAAACTGCAACCCGCTCCCCTCACTCATCCTATGTGCCCAGGGACCAGGGCGCAGGCCTCAGAGGCCACCAGAGTCCCACTTAATGACTATGGCCACTGAGACCGCAGGGGCCAGAGCAGCCACGGGGGCCAGAGCAGGGACGGGCCATGACAGTAGGGCTTTCAGAGAAGCTTTTCCTCTAATGAAACAAGCCCACTGCCTGGTTACATGGCTCTTGATTACCTGGTCCTGCTCCGAACCCACCAAACTTGTCAGCTGGTCCTTCTCCGAGGACATCTGGGCTAGAGATTCATGTGGCGCCTGCACACCCAGAGACTCAGCACGCACCACTATTCTTGGCAGCTGACTGCGTACAGCAGGACCATCCTTTGTCCAAAACCTAATTCTGTGGGACCCAAGGACTCCTCCTGCAGTCTGTGCCCTTGGTACGGCCCCCAGACACCACAGGGTTGGCAAGATGTAGGCCTTATCTTTTCACCCTTCTTCCAGATGCAATGACCCAGTGGGCTTTGTCCAATCCCATCATCTAGAAAGTGAAAGGCTGACAGTATAACTGTACTAGATAGCTGTTCTGAGGAATGGGCTTCAAATAGACACTCGGATATGTCATCTTGTGCATTGCATTAAGATTTAGGACTGGGCCTGGCTGGTGTTTCGCAGTGGTTGGAGTGTCGACCCATACCATGCACTGAAGGGTCACCAGGTTGATTCCCGGACAAGGGCAATCCCTGGTCCCCATGGGTGTGTGTGCAGGAGGCAACCAATTAAGTGTCTAACACATCAATGTTTCTTTCTCTTCCCTTCTCCTCCCTCATTCCCTTTTACTCTCTCTGATAAACAATGGAAAAAATACCCTCAGGTGAGGATTTAAAAAACAAAGAAGCCTCACCAAGGACTCCTGCCAGAGGGCTGCCAGGGCCACAGGAAGGGGGCGGGGGAGGGGGAAAGAGGGAGGGAGATATAGATTTGTACTTCTTATTGTGGGCAACTACCAAAAACACTTTTATGACCACTATTCTATTAATGCATATTAGGAGCAGCCACAATTCCAGCATGAGCCAAGCATGCTGGTTGTCCCAACCTCTCTATCTGGGATTGGACATTCCCTATAAACCAACCACCTCATATTTTAATTCCAAATACAGTTTGCACCTGGCCTTAAAGACAGTTGTTGACTTCTTAGATGTTGATTTCAGGCCCACAGCATCTTGATACCACCCTCCAAACTCCTACATGGGACCCCTCACACCCTCACAGCAGCATTATGCAACAGCCTGCCTCCAGGAGGGTCCCCAAAAGAACAAGGCCCTGAGGAAGAAGACTCAGCAGACCACTGTCCTAGTTCTAGACTGTCTGGGGCTAGATATCTCAATTCCACCCCAGAACAGAATGGCCTGGCCTAGTATAACTTTCGATAACATGTCTAAGAAGGAAGTTAAAAAAAATTTTTCTGCTAAACAACACAACTGCATGATGTAAAGAATAGGAATGACCCATTTGTACCGTGACTAAAGTACCCTAGAAATTCGATGCATGGCCAGAATCTGACCTTAAAATACAATAGCAAATGCCCCAGCTGGAGTGGCTCAGTGGATAGTGTGTTGGCATGCAGAATGAAAGGTCCTGGGTTCAATTCCAGTCAAGGGCACGTGCTGGGTTATGGGCTCAATCCCCAGTAGGGGGAGTGCAGGAGGCAGCCGATCCATGATTCTCTCTCATCATGGATGTTTCCCTCTCTCCCCCTCTCCCTTCCTCTCTGAAATCAACAAATCTATATCTATATCTATATCTATATTTTTTAAATACAACAGCAAAAACCTAAACAAATATCTCTCTATTCTAACAAATACCATGAGAAACAAAGACTCCCCCCCCCACCAACCTTTCCGGAAAAGGAAGTTGGACAGGGTTTGATTATGGGTGCTGCAAGGCATTTTGGGCCCTCTGGGCAACAGGCTTCCTTCCTCAGCCCCCAAACCCTGGAGCCTGAGGCCAGGGAACATGGGCCATGGGCTAGGAGGTACAAGGAGATGACTCACTGTTAGCAGCAGCCAGAGCAAAAGCTATCCTCCCTGATTCACCCCCACATGGCTGTTCTGTGGACCCCTGAGCCAGGGCTCACCTCCTGAGCCTCTGGGCATCTGCTAAGAGACACATACCCCAGAAGTGTCCCAAGGACTCTGGCCCTGAGCCGCCTGACCTGGCCTTAACAACAGCAAACAGTCCTTGAGCACCACCTAGTGCTGGGCCAACACAGGGAAAACAAGGTCTGCCAGCAGTGAAATGACTCTTCGACTTGGTCAGCTCTGAACTGTACTGACGTCTCAGATCTGTGCAAAAAGCCTGGGCCACCTCCCACGTTCTTCATTCATCCTTCTATTTGATTTATGACTTAAGTCTCTAAAGTCTGTAGACAGAGAACTGCCGACCAACTAGCCCCTCCCAATCGAGAGATGGGTAGGTGGCAGGAGGCACCTGGCACTCTACACAGATCAGTCCTGCTCCTTGAGAGAAGGCAAGGAGCTATTTGCTGCCTTCCTTCCTGACCAGGCCTCTCCTGTCACTGAGGGATGGAGAAAGGCAGGGGCCTCTGAAAGGGGCTCCTTCCAGGGGAGCTGTGTGCCCTACTGATGGCCCCAGCTCCTAAGGTCCAGGGGCACCCTGTGCTGAGGCTGCAGCCCTCCACCTCCACCTCCACTTACCGTGCCTGCTGCTGGTCGGCCTCCACTTGGCTGGCCTGGAATGAGAGACAGAGAGCTCCTTAGTCCCTGTGAGTCTCACTTCACTTGGCAACTGGTGGTTGGGGAGGGGATTTGCTCTCATCACTCTACACAGTGGTGATGGTGATGGTGGTGTCCAGGTCGAGTTCAGAACTCGATGGCATTCTCCCTCCCCTCCCGTCAGCCCCAGGAAGGAAGTGCCAGCTGACCTGGGCATCCCGGGCCTGGCCTGCCTCCAGCAGGGCTTCGATGGATCGGATTCTCTCTGTGAGCTGTGAGTTTTCTGCCCTGGACTCCTTGAGCTGCCCATGTAGACCACTCAGCTCCTCGCACTTGCTCTTCACCTCTGCCTCGGAGGACTGTAATTTGCTGTGCAGCTCTGGGCCAGAAGGGGAGCAAGGGCAGGTCAGGGGCAGCAAATGCCCGGGCTGAGCACCATGCCTGCCCCTCAGCACACAGGCACCGAGAACTCCTTGCCTCTTCCGTGTGTCTGGGGTTTAAGACTTACTTCTAACCTCTGGGCATCTCATTAGCTACTGAAGAAAGTCACACCTTGGCTTTGTTCTCGAGGACTTGCTAGGATAGAATAAAATGCCTTCAGAGCACTAGTGGGAAAATGATGAAAATCTAGAATGGATTTCAGTTGCAGTTTCTAAAAATTGGTTCTCTATGAGACTGGCTCATATTAGCTGAGATAAGGACAGGGGTCTTCTGGGGGTGTCCTTCCTTGATGACTCAGGTTAAGTCCCATGGTTCTAAATGTCATCCACATGTCTATGACTCTGCGAAGTCCCAAAGCTCTGGTCTCATCCCCACACCAAGACTCAGCTGCCTGACACTTTCACATGAAGCTCTGCTTAGGCAACTCAAATCCAGCACTCCAACCTCCCCATTCAGGTTGCTCTGCTTTCCTGGGCTCCCACCTCTCTCTCCTCTTCCAGGCCTATGGATTCTATTATCTACTGTCTGCCAAGTCCATCTTTCCCTCACAAGCACTATTTCCTTTTGACCTGAATGACTGAGTCCCCTGGGCTACTCTTGCCCTTCCAGTCTGTTCTCAACCCACCATCCAAGCATCCAGAAGTGCAAATGAGACCATGCCATCCCCAAACCCTTCCATCACTGAATTCTGCACCCAAACTTTTCACAGGACAGGTCACCCATCTGATCCCACACTGACCACTTGCTTTCTTGCTTCAGTTACTCACTGACCTTCTACTTCTTGTACAGACTAAGTTCAAGTTCCCATTTGCAGGAGTGCTTTGCTTACCATTCTACCCCTTCCTTCCATTCTCCATATCTCAGCTTAAACACCTGCACCCTTCCCCAACTGCCAATTCTAAAGCCACACCTGGCGATGAGAGGAGGGGTCAGCAAAGCCCAGGGACCACCCATTTTTGTAAATAAAGCTTTATTGAAACTTAGCCAGATCTGTCTGTTTATATAATGTCTGGAGCTGCTCTACACTATGGCAGCAAAGCTGAGCAGTTGTGACAGATACCATCTGGCCTATAGAACCCAAAATATTTACTACCTGGCTCTTCAGAGAAACAGCTGCCAACCCTGCTCTAGGTTCATGCTATTTGAAATCTGTTGAGCACAGACTGTCTGACCCTGTCGACATGTGTCTATCTACCTATGTCTGTCTCTCCTGCTGGAACATCGCACAGATGCCACTGCTTCACCCCTGGCCATGCCCTGGGTACCCACAGCAGTGTTCAGCCCATGACAGTCGCTCAGGAAATACTGAGCAAGTGGCCATGGAGCTGTCACTGACATTCTCTGTCTTCTTTCTCTAAGGGCCTTAGGTGCCCCTGACTTCACCATCCCCTCCTGATTGTTAAGCAGACCTGTAAGCACAGAGGGACCACAGACCCACCTTCCAAACCTGGCCTCTTGTGCTAACCGAGCCGGGAGAGCCAGAAGGTCCAGCTGAGGAAGCCAGCAATGTCCGCAGGAGCCTTGGCTCCCCCACAGCAACCAAGGCTGGAGACGGCAGCACCTTCAGCCATTACCCAAGCCTTAAAGGCTACCCTCCCCCGCCCCATCCTCCCCACACCCTGCCTTTATAACCTCACCCCTCACAAACTCCAGCCCAATCCAACTCTCCCATGGGGTGAGCCTCAACCCTGCACCTCATCTGTCCACTGACAAGGCACAATCCCTGCCTCATACTAACAGGACTGGCTCTCTTTATGGTTCTGGCCCCTGCACAGACCCTAACCACCCCGCCTGGGCCTCCACACCAAGCCTCGCCCTCACCGGCCAGCTGCTGCTGCTGCTGCTGGGCCTTCTCAGCGTCTGCCCGGAGACTGGCGTGGCTGGTCTGTGAGCGGCAGAGCTCCCGGCTGACCTCGTCCAGGCGCTTCTGCAGGGCCTCCTCATTCTCCTTGTGAGACGCCTGGGGAGTGGGCAGGGGGAAAAGAGCCATGAGGATACAGAAGGGAGATCAGACCCTCAGCTGGCTCTGAGGTCACGCAGAACAACCTCCCATCCACCCCGACGACCTTGATAAAACCCGCCTGAATTTCTCAAGTCAGTTCATCCACTGAGTAAAGCCAGGAGCCCTTGAGGAGCTGGCTCAGGGTGAAGGACCCTCAGGTGAAAAAGAAAAAAAGCCCATTTTCATTTCAGCATGACACAGAGAGATGCTTCCTACAATGGAAACCCCCAGGCTAACCTGGCAGTTTCCTGAGGGGCCTTCGTACAGATCGCATTTACTGACTCTTTCTCTGTGCAAGGCACTGTTCTAGGCACTGTGTGCGCGCCACATGGTTAATCCTCAGTCACCCAAGACAGGTGCTTCTGTCACGTTTATATTACAGATAAAATAAAGCCCATAGGAGTCACTAAGGGCCTCAAGGTCAATTCCATGCCCTGGTCTCCCTCACCACCAGTGGCCAGCCACTCCCAGAATCTTTGGTGTCAAGAATGGAAGGTTGAAATCTTGCCTGTGTGTGAACTTGGGGTAGTTGCTTAACTTCTCTATGCCTTGAATTTCTTTATGGGTGAATTCCAGATAGTAACAGAACCTCCTCACAGGGTTACAATAAGAATCAGCTAAGTTAATGCTTGTAAAGAGCTTAGAACAATGTGTAGCCCACAGGAAGCTATTACTATTATGCACAAGGCCAAGGTTGATGGTTCCAGCTCAGTCATGGCTGGCCGGTCCCTGCTCCAGTCCCAAGCTTGGTGGGTGAACAATGCACTGAAGTGGCTGCCACTCTGACTCACCTGTAGCTGCAGGACCTGCTTCTCAAAGGCAGTTGCTTTGGCCTCCAGAGCCTTCCGCTGCTGCTCCTCCTGCCGAGCCACCTCCGACTTCTCCACCAGCTCCTTGCTCACCTTGCCAAGCTCCTGCCGGAGTTTGGCCAGCTCCGCGTTCTGCCTACAAGACAGTCACCAGCCCCCAACTGACAGACAGAAGAGGGCTCGAGTCAGCTCTTGCCAGCCCTGAGAGCTGTCCCTGGCTGACTGGGACCGTGATAGGAGCCCTCCCTCCAGGCCACCTGCTCTTTCCTAAGTAGCTGCCTGAATCTTGGAGCTATCACTAAGCCCCTCCTGCATTATCAGACAGGTGGGGGTTTACCAGCATGGTGTGTGCACCAGAGAGAGCGAAGAGTAAAATGTGCACTGATAGATCCCATAGACACTCCTCCCAGACATCTGGGAATTCAGATAGAAAAAGGTAAGACACATTTTTCCTCATTACCAGCCAGGGTCCAAACAAGCCCTGGGATGCAGGCTGCCTTGCCTGGACCCCTGCAGGGCTGGGGGCAGCAGCCCATGGGAGTCCTGTTTCACTGGAGGCCACCCGAAGCGGGAGGCTGAGGCCCTTCACAGAACAGAGCTCTCAACACTTCATTAAAGGTGGATCTCAGGACCAGGGAGAAGTTCAGGAGGGAGGAAAGGATACGTGATTGTCAGGGAAAAAGGGGCAACTCAACACCTGCCTTCCCTAGTGTGAAGAGGTAATCAGCATGCCGGCCTCCTTCACTAGACACCTCTTCAAGACAGCACCGACGGCCCAGCCAAGGGACAGCACCAGACAAGACTGTCCACAAGCCCGGGAGGCAGGAAACCTGGCCAAGACCAGCTCTATCTACTGCTGGGGTGAGAGAGTCCCACCTCTGGACTTGGGTTTCCTTATCTGAACTAGGAAGGCCATCCAAAGCCCTCTGTGGACCATCAGTTCAGGTTTGACAGCACCAAGATCCAAGACTGGAGACCTAGCTGGTTAGGATTAATGGATAGAGCGTTGGCCTGCAGGCTCAAGGGTCCCAGGTTTGATTCTGGTCAAGGGCATGTACCTTGGTTGCGGGCACATCCCCAGTAGGGGGTGTGCAGGAGGCAACTGATAGATGTTTGTCTCTCATCGGTGTTTCTAACACTCTATCCCTTTCTCTTCCTCTCTGTAAAAAAATCAATAAAATATATATATTTTTAAAAATATCCAAGACTGGGGAGCTCACGGGAACCACTAGACTCCAGGACTTGGATGAAGGTGGGAGGCTGGGCGGGCAACTCCTTGGGACTGATATGCAGCTAGGGAGGGGCCTGGGAACACCCATCCACACGGGCAGATCTCCCACAAATTGACAGAGTCAGCAGCTGCCTCCTCAGGACCACAGGTCTCCATGCTTTGGAGCTTTCTCCAGGAGAGAGGCCACAGCAAACTCTACGCAACAGGACGCCAGAGTGCGCCTCCATCACATGTTCACCTTCAGCTGTGGCTGCCAAGAAGAACCTGACACAAATCTCCAATCCGCTGAAGGGCCAGGTGGAGATGAGATGTCTACACACCCAGAGGGGTCCTTCAGAGAAAGGAAACCGGCCTGGGGAGGGTAGCCTTTGGCTCTCACTCCATGCTAGGAGGCCCACCAGCAAAACAGACATGCAGGCACTGATTTGCCTCCCTGGTCTAGATCCTGGGCCAACATTGTCCCCTGGACTTCCAGCTAAAACACCCACTGAGGGTGCCCGGGCTCTGCCTAAGTCAGTTCTCCTCTTGGCAAAAGGAGATGCTCTGGGGACAACACAGACCTCCAGAAAGTCCCTTCAGGATGCTTCAGGCCAAGAGGAGGCAAAGAAATGTGAATCAAAAGAAAATACAGGGGCCTTCCTCCAAGAACATGGTTGAGACTCTGTACTGCCCACTGAGGTTGCCCACTTGCTGTGGACTTGCTAGCATTTCCGTCCTGAGAGGCAACGCAAAGATCAAGAACTCTGCTAAACAGGCCAGGTTGGTGTGCTGTGAAGCAGTACTTGTCACCAATGCATCGAAAACAAATGTCCCTCCAGCACAGACCTCGTTCCCAGTGGAGAATCAAAGCGTTCACGCCCACAGCAGGTCCTACACCACATCAAACTCTGATCTTGGACAATCCACTCAGGCTTGATACTCTAGGTCACAATCAGGAGTTTTTAAAAGCCTCAAATCAGGATGTTGTGAAGATAGACATGGAAATAGTATCTGCTCGTCTAGGAAAGCAGACACTGGCACCAGTCAGAGCCTGAGGGGCACTTGATCACAGAGCTCACCCCTCCCTGCAGTCTGACCACAGGAGAGGTTGCCAGCCAAGCGTTGGAAGGGCTCAGCTGCTCAGAACCAGGTAAGAGGAGTATGAGGCTGGAGATTAAAATGGGGAGGTGCCGAAGCGCCCAGCAGTCCCAGATCCAGTAAGAAACTAGAGTGCACTTGCAGAAGGCTCGGGGACCCTTCCCCGCTCCGGAGGCCCTCCGGGCTGTGCTGTTACCAAATCCAACTGGGAGCACTGAGCTTACTTGCTTTCCACCTGGCTCGTGGCTTGGTTCAAGGCGTCCCTCAGAATGGAATTCTCCTGCTGCAGGCGGGCCAGCTGTGTGTTGGGGCCATTCTCCAGCTGTTCCTGCAGTGTCCGGACCTAAAACCATTGATGGGTATCAGTGCTGCTTGGCCTTACAGGGAGCTGACTTCTGGAGCCAGATTAATGAGATAACAAGCCTGCAGACAAAACCCCAAGGGCTTGCTTCCCCACATGAGGTGGACAGGACCCCTAAGAACAAGAGTCTGGAAACTGAACAGCTCTAGCATTAGAAGCTCAGAGCCAATAGTGACCTCCCAACCACACACCTTCTCTCTTCCCTGAGGCCTCCAGGCAGCAAAGTGCTCAGCCCAGAGTACCAGACATGCTCCACACACTCTGCCTGAGGTCTGAGACAAAGGACACAGCCATGGTCACAGCCTAAAACTACCCAGGAAGCCTGGGATCCTGCCTCTGGCCTCCTGTGGCCCACCATGAGCAGAGCACAGGTTTGAGAAGATGAGGTCCAGTGCTCTGACTCCGTAGGCCAAGCTGGACACGCCTCCCCCGGCCCCATTCAGAGCCTTTTGCTTTAGGTGATTTTTCCAACCTCAAGTGGAAAAGGCAGAGCTTTACTCTAGGATCACATGGAGGCTGAGAACTGGACCCACAGGCACTCAGGAGACAGGACATAGGGCTGGCCACTTGGGACCAGACAATTTTCAAAAAGAACTCTTCAAAATTTATGTTACATTTTCCTAGTTAGTATCATTAAATATACAATGCAGGCTGGCTGCCACTATCTGCCAGATAAAAACAGTTGTTTCCTTCAAAAACAAATCAGATTCTATAGACCCACCCATACCCCACCCCTAAGGGCACCCTCAACTCCCTTTGTGACCACTCCAGCCCTCCTTGACTCTACACCGCTGCTCACCTTGCCCTGTAGCTCTTGCACCTCCTTCATGTGATCCCGGTAGCTGGCCTGCATTCGGGCCTGCACGGCTGTCATCTCCTGATCTTTGGCCACCAGCTGCTTTTTCACCTTGGCCTCTCCTGCTGCTGCCTTTGCCTTTTCTGCTGCCAACTCCTGGAGAAAGCAGAGAGCCAGGTAAGCAGGGACAGGAGCTTGTCAGATAGGACTGAGGTCATCAGAACCCAGAGCATCAGAACCCTGGGGCTAGGGCTCAGAGGAGCTTCCGAAACAGAGCACAAGACCCTGTCTCCTGAGTTCCGACAGATCCACGCCAGCCACAGCAGACAGCAAGCAGGAGACAAGAGGTTACCAGGAAACCCTGCTGGCTTGACCAGCTAAGGGCTGGATGTCAGGCCTTGGCCATAATGGATATGGACACCAGCAAGAGCTGAGTAAACAGTATTCTCTTCCTAGGCTCTCCAGGGACACTTGTTCAGCTCCGCTGGGACTACAACCTTCTAGTTGGCATGGTCCCTGACATCCAGGCCCCAGAACACCTACCTCTACAAACCTGGACTGACAGGCTCCGAGTTGATGGCTGGGGTGGGGACACTGCCCATCCTATGATGGCTGGGGGATCAGCCCCACTCCTAGAGGGCCCGTTCTGTGTGGGCAGCCACTCAATCCTCCTTGGGGGAATGTTTGTCGGATACCACAATGAATACAGGATGTGAGTCCACAGGGTCTCAGAAAATGGGAGGAACAAAAAGTTGCTCCACTCCTCTGGCTAGTCCGGCTCGTCTAAAGCAGAGCAGGGCAACTTTGTGGTAACTCATAGTTCCACCAAGCTTCCTCTAATACACATGACACATGACCCTGCCAGCTTCCCCAGCAAAACTCCACACACTAGCAACATGGAACAACATGAAGATACCTTTTAGTATAGGATCCAGGCTTGGAAGAAACCAAAGCTCAGAGAGACCTTGGAGTGCCCTTAGCCACACCAGCAGCAGGTGTTGCAGCCACATTGGTTCGTCCTCCGCCCACCTCTGCTGTCCACAACTAACGGACACCAAGAGGCTGGCACTGAGCATCTGTCTAGGGACAGTCATCCCCACTCTGGGCAGGACTTATGCAATTCTGGGCATCCAGCTGGGATCCCTAGGCCAGCAGAATCTAATAGGATTTCCCTTCCTTTAGCCTCTGGGCTTTTTTAAAGGGCAGAGAAAGGCCAGCTTTTCCTCAGGGCATTTGTTTAGCCCTCCTTGGCTTTGTTTTCTCCTAAGTCCTCAGAATCCCAGTATTCCTCTTGCTTGTCAAATTCTAAATTCAGTTGCAAAGGTCAGATTCATTTTCCTGAAATGCATCCCCAGTGGTGCTGGGGACTGGAGGACTGGAGCCCAGTTTTCTTTGACTGGGCTGGGAGAGGAGGCTTGGCACCAGCACCAGCACTTCTGGCTCAGAAACGCCACTTTGCGTTCAGTCCAAGAGTGGCCCTGCTTGGTGTGAGCTTCCAAAGCCTGGTGAGGCATGGACAGTAGGCAGCTCCATCAAAAGGGTCTGTCACCAAGAATATCTCCCACTCCATCCCTGGGAGCACACCTCCCTAAGGGTTTTCTTGACTGCATGACTTAGACCCTGATCTCCCAGGCTGAAAGAACACAGGATGGCGTCTAGTCCAGAGCTTTACTTAGGACAGAGGCCCCATGACAGGTGCCTAATTAGACAACAGCTAGAAAGATGGTTTTCCAGAGAGCTGTACCAAAGCCATGCATGGTCCCTCAAACCCAGGCCCTGGTCAGAAGGCTAGGACAGAGGTCAGGGTGCCTATGCCTGTTAACTCCTGCAGCTGGTGCCTGAAATGGTCCTTGAGCCCAGCTCTGCGGAGACTTCACCCATTTGTGAAGCATGGGTCTGTCACAGAGAACAATCCACAGGAGAACGAAAACACGTGGAGGGAACCAGGTCCTCATGAGAGGAGAAATTCCGCATTTTCCAAAATTTAGTTTCTCATATAACTTGCCTCATGGTCCTGGGCTAGGAGACACAACAAAAATGAAATCAACACATCGGCTCTGCCTCGAACTCTGAATAGAGAAATGCAGGAACCTGATGTCCATGGATTCCAGAAGCACAGGGAGGAAAGATGACCATGCCAAAACCATCAGAGGCTGTCTTCTTAGCTGGCCCCAGGCCTCAGCAGCCACTTGCTGACAGCCGGCCTGCTAGGCTGAGTCAAGCAAACGGGTCAGAGTCACCGAGCACAGACACAATGGCATATGACTGCGATGGCAACCTCTGTGCTGAGACAAGAAACTGGGGGCTCTGGAAGGATTCCCGAGGGAAAGCAAATTGAGTCTTTAGGGATAGGGAATAAATGCCCAGCCAGTTCAGCAGTGAAGAGCATTTGAGGCAAATGGCAGAGCATAAAGAGTGCCTCGCAGGACCAGGTTAGCACTTGAGAGCCTGAGAGGATCTCCTTGGGCTGCAACTGCAGGGAGGACAGAGCAGGGAGGGCTGGACGCACCTCAGACAACTCCTCGCCTAGGAGCCAAGGCCTGGATTCCTGGAGGGTGAGATGAGTAATGAAATGCACCCCTGCATATCTCACAGGCCCCTGCAGCCGGCTGCCAGGGAAATCTATCAGGGGAGGGCTGGACATATAATAGAACTGAGGAGAGCATCTGTAGGTTAGCTGCTATGTGGCTTTGGCAATCTCGTGAAGCAGCCACCACTGAGTGAGAGCAGTAAGTGGCCCAGCCCGAAGGGCAGTGTCTGAGGGGCCTCCTTCTGCATGGTTCACTGGCCCTCAGTGACCGGAGACACCAGCAGTGGGGAAGAAAGGCCAGCATCATTGTCGGAGGTTGCAGTTATTCACTCGTCACACCTGCAGCCCTTCCTAAATTCAAGGCGGTAGACACAAGGAACTAGCCAGGCAACCCCATGCCAGCCAGCTGTGGGAACACTCACTCCTTTTTTTCCTCACCTGAAACTTACTTTGGGGATATCAACAAATTTTCACAGGCATTTCCCAGTTTGTCCAGTAAGAAGGTATGGAATACTGGCTCCCCCTAAACCACAGACTCTAAATCAATGGTGTGCTGGTCGGCTGGCTCTTAGAGAAAGACCTCTGATTTGTAGAGCTGGCCCACTTCCATGGTGTAAATGCTCCTGGCCTAGGGCAGTGGTCGGCAAACTCATTAGTCAACAGAGCCAAATATCAACAGTACAACGATTGAAATATTTTTTTGAGAGCCCGATTTTTTAAATTTAAACTTCTTCTAATGCCACTTCTTCAAAATAGACTCGCACAGGCCGTGGTATTTTGTGGAAGAGCCATACACAAGGGGCCAAAGAGCTGTATGTGGCTCGCAAGCCGTAGATTGCCGACCACGGGCTTAGGACATACTATGTCATGTCTACCAGGAAGAGACATGTGCAGTCAGCTCTTGGGCACAGAGCAAATGGCTCCAGCCACCCTGCACTTAACCAACAACACAAGATGGACTTGTGTGAAGGCCATATTGAGTCCCCCACACCTCTGCTCTAAGCAGAAGCTAAAAAGCTCTAGTGAAGGCCACAGAGACCTGCATTTCCACGCCCCCTTCTCCTGACCAGAGCATTAACCAAGTAGTAACCAACCAAAGGCTCATCTTCTACTCCTGCCTTCCCCACCAAACAAACTATGCCATTTGGCTCAAAGCCACATCCCTCCAATTTAGGACAGAAACTCACTGCTTCACCTCTGAATCTTCTCAAATGAGCAGATGGAAGGTGCCCCGAGGAGGGGCTGCAGCCTAGACACTGTGGGGCATCCGCAAGCCCATCCCCTGCACTTGTTGCACTGTTGGAGGAGGCAGAGAGCAGGGGGAAGGAGAGGGCAATGCTCAGCACTGTGCTGGCAAAACCTAGCCCATGGGCTGGAACACCAGAACTTTCTCCTTAGAAGGAGAGGGAGAAGCCCCAGTGAGTTCTGACAGGGAGAGCAGCCCCTGTGCATGTGTCCTGACTCATGCTACTGCTGTTCACTGAGTACAAACATCACACACCAGTCATCAGCTGACACAGGAGCCAGGCTTTCCCAGGATTGTTCCACAGACAGCAGAAAAGGGAGGAAAGCAGCCCTCTTGGCCCCATGAAAATAATTGTAGGTCAACTGCACCCATCCTCCTGTTCAGGGTGTAGACCCTAAAACGATGGCCCATACTGTGGAACAGGCCAATGATTCCATCCCACACTACTTAACATCCCTGCATTCCTAGTCCTGAGAAGGAAGCTGCCACTCCACGGAGCTCTGCAGGGGCTGCACAGGCTGACCTCAGGCTCCCAGTCACAGTGCGCACTTGTTCGAGGGGCAGTCACATCGGCAGCCCTGAGCAGAGACAGAGTAGGGAGGCAACCCCATGACCCAGGGGCAGCACTGCTGCAGCCCGGGTACTCTCAGGATGGGCCATACCTTATTGAGTTCCCTCAGTTTGCTCTTGGCAACAGCCGCGTCTTCCTGCTCTGTGGCCAGCAGCCTTTCCTTCTCTTCCAGCTGGCGTTTCAGAATCGCCACAGGGTCGCCCTTCTGAGTGGCCTAGAAATATGCACAGAGCCACGTGAACAGAGGGTACAGACACACTTGGTTTGTCCCCCCAGCCCAGCAGATTCTGGCTCAGTGTCCTGATGAAGTGGAAGCAGGAGCTTCAGATAAGCAGGTTCCACCCTGACTCCAGACATTTCTGGGGAAAGGGTCCCTTCCCTCCACCCCCACCTTGGACACCCAGTCTGTAGGGCCTCAAGAACCCTTGGCAAAAGCACTGGATCTTTGAGGTAGTTTTTAGGAGCATAGCGTTTCCCATTAACTTGGGTCAATGGAGGCCAAGGCCTCTCCACTGTGGGCAGTGGCCACTGTTTCCCGTTGAGTGCCTAGCCCTTAGATTATGTGTGCAAAAAGCCCATAGATCCTGGCTGAGGCAGAGAAGCCACGGGAGGTGCAGTGTATTCTGGGACAGTAGCCTGAGTGGAGCTCAGGCCTCTCTCCTTGGAGAAGTGAGGTCATCCTGATCTTCTCCAGCCCACTCACAACCAGGAAACCTCCTTCCACACACACACCCCTCTCTATTCTCACTGAGTGAACAGCTCCCTGCGACTGTAGGACACATCATAGCTCAGCAAGGGCCAGGAGTGGAGGAACCCAACTGATCTTTTAGGACTAGGCACTCAACATCTCTCTCTAACCACCAATATGCCACAAAATTCTCCAACAAAATTATCTACAATTCCAACTCTGAATAAGGAACAAATAACTATGTGCCATGTAGCACTTCCTGGTGACAGCTCATTCACCAAGATACCAGAGGGTGGGTGCCAGCATCTGACCTGGCCCCCAACAGCAGGAGGGAAGGTGCTTCTGGGCCCATCACAAGGTTTCCTCACTCAGTGTGTCCCTACACATATTCCTTCCTGCACCCAGAGCCCTGGCCACAAACCAGCCGGGCCCCCGCTCCTGTGTTGCACCCCTAGGCCCTGGAACTCAGAGCGCTGCCCCAGCTCTTTAAGATTCAGTGGCCCAGCCACAGCTGGGCTATAGCTGAAGCCAAAGGATCTGCAGGGCGATTCACACAGCCTCTGCTTGGAAAAGGGCAGCAGGGTTCTGACAAGAAAAGTGAGTGGAGGCCGTTCCCTGTGCAGCTTGGCAAGAAGCAGGTAGCCACTACAATTCACAGGTCCCTGAGAGGGAGCAGGGGAGGCAAAACCACCCAGGCCAGCTGCAGAGGCCACTAAACGGGATAAGGAGAATGTGGGCCCACCTTATGCCAGGTGTCCTGAAAGACACCAGCCTTCTCAGACAGGATCTCAATTAGCCGCTGGGCCTCACCCTCGTTGAACACCATGCTTCCAACCGTGGAGACCAGCGTCTTGTACGGGAGGCAGAGAGGACTGTCGGTGTCCAGGGATCCTGTGCAGAGAGAAGGACTTACACTCAGACATGAGCAACCAAGTCAGTCCCACCTTGAAGCAGTAAAGGCCAGTAAAAGCTAAAGATTCTGTCCAGCTGCCTGGGGTGTGGCTTCTCAACTTAGGTCCCAACAAACTCATCATAAGTTGAAAACATCAGAAGTCAAAATGCATTTATACACCTAACCTACTGAACAGCTTAGCATAGGTGACCTTAAATGTGCTCAGAACACTTACATTAGCTCCGAAGTCATGGAGCCCAGAACCTATCTTACCTAATAAACAAACATGCAAACTGACCATCCCTCCACTAGCCACCAGCCAATCAGGAGTGATATGCAAATTAACCCAACAAAGATGGTGGTTAATTTGCATACACAGGCACCGAGTGAAGGGGGCAGGAATTCTGCCCCACCCCTAGTCTCTCAGGGCCTCTGGGCAGTGTGGGAAGGCATGGCCAGAGTGGAAAGAGGTGGCTCCAGAGCCTGAGCAGAAAGGGGCTGGGCAGGAGTGGAAAGGAGATGCCAGTAGCCAGGGAAAAGAAAGCCCATTCTAGCATGAATCTTCGTGCATTGGGCTTCTAGTTTTATAATACAGTGTTGACTATCACCCGGCCAGCATGGCTCAGTGGCTGAGTTTCAACTTATGAACCAGGTCACAGTTTGAATCCTGTTCAGGACACTCACCCAGGTTGTGGGCTCAATCCCCAATGTAGGGTGTCCAGGAGGCAGCCGATCAATGATCATTAATGTCTCTCTCTCTCTCTTTCTTCCTCTCTCCTTCCCTCCCTCTTCTCTCTCTCTCTTTCTCTCTCTCTCTCTCTCTCTCTCTCTCTCTCTCTCCCCCTTCCACTCTGAAATAAAAATATTTTTAAAAAAATAAAGTGTTGACTATCTCATGCAATTTATTGTATGTATCACTTTCAAATCACTGCAAAGTTGGAAGACTGTAGGTGGAACCATTGTCAGTTGGGGGGCATCTGCATTCAGAAATGAAATAAACTGAGGGCCCTGCACATGCTTCCTGAGTGTCCAAAGACAGCCGATGGAGAAGTCACCAAGTAAAGAAAGGTGGAGTTTTCCTAGGTTAGAGGAGATATCCTCCCCACCCTTATCATCAAAATGAGCAGAATTAATCAAGGCAAAGGTACTTTTTCCTTCTTTCTCAGATAGAATCGGTCTTTTTTTTCTAAAACAGCTCAGCAAGGCTCACCCCCTGCACGACCAAGCCCTATGGCCCTGCAGGTCCTAAATGACCAGTGAGCCCATCATTCCCCACAAACACAGTAGCCCACAGCCACACCCATGGGAGAAGCATGGGAAGCAAAAGGCCCATGTCTCCAAGGTTGCTCTGAGGTCCCACATAGTCAGGTTCAAACACAATTTCCCGTTCCCCCTGGATGAAGCTTAGGGATCTTTTAGGGGGGAAGGCTGAGCTAGGTTCTTGCAGAAGGGCCTGCCCATGCCTCAGTCTATTAGTGACTGCTGGAGGAGACAGAGATATTTGCCAAAAACCAATGGTCACTTCTGAAACACTCCTAATACTACACTCCCCAGAAAACATTGCTCTCATCAAAGACTCTCAAAGCAAAAAGGAATGAACCAAGATGCTTCCCAGGCAATTCCTTATGCTGAGGCTCAAATCTTCCCTATAGCTGAATGACAGGGCCAAAAATGAGCTGAAATAAAGAAAACAGGCTGACCTGTGTGGCCCCTTCAGCTAAGCCCACCCTGAGGGCAATGAATGGAGGTTTCCATAGCAACCCCAAATTCTCTGGCTTATCCTAATATTTTCATCACAAGTCAAAGCATTTAGCATGATACCTTAATAAGGAGTATGCAGGACGTAGATGAGCTGGTTGCTATGAGCACCTTCATTTTAGAGCCTCTTACCTTGGTGAACCTTGAGATTAGAAATAACCATAGTGACATTACAGGCCTAACAGCTCAAGGGTGCCATGAAAATGGGTTGGGGGGAGGGGGAGAGGAAGCACATGCCCTTCAACCTTCTGCCTTTTCATTGAAATATACATAAAATAAGGAATAATTTTAATGGTAACTTATGAACACCAGAAAAAAACTGAGTACAGCTAGACCCAAAGAAAATAAAAACCACTCTCTAACTCACCATTGGGAGAAAACCCCTCTGTTAGCCTTTTAGTTTACAGGCTTCCCTGCTTTGCCCTCTCAGCCTGCAGATGGATGTTTACTGCCAGTGTTTTCCCAACGGAGGAGGACCACTCGTTTCGCCGATACCCCTGAAGCAAAATTGGGCAGGCCAGCCTCTCTGAAACCAAGCATCATACAGACAATTTCCTGTCCTCACTCAGAAAAGTCTATTCCTGTACTGTCTGGTACACTGGCCACCAACCAAGTGGAGGTACACCACGGATTTTCAAATATTTCATATAAAACAGTTAAATACCTGTCATAACTTTTATAATGTTTTGTGTAAACTGGGTTAAATAAAATATGTCATTAAAATGAATTATATTTGTTTCTTGCTTGCCTTTTCAAATGTGACTATTAGGAAGGTTTAAACTTCACACACGGTGTGCACATGTGGCTCACACTGTTTCTACCAGACAGGTCAGTTTGCTCCTTTCCAGCCCTGGGGACCCTCAAAGCACTCCCTACTGAAATCCTGGCAGCCTCCATCCCCACAGGGGCCTCAGACCAGCGGCTTGGGCCTCTCCTGAAGGCTCTCCTTGAAGACCATCCTTCTAGACTCCTAAGGCCCCGAGTGCACTGCTGGGGTGAAGGGGACATCAAGGTAATGCAGCTACACTTCCCTGTGAAATATCATTTCTTTCACAGGCATCATTCCCTCCATGGTCTCAACAATGTGCAATCCTTCCTGAAGGTCTAGGAGACATGGACCCTAAGACACCCAGTCCAAAAACCATTTCTGAGATTACTATGTAAGAGTATTATTCTAATACATCATCAATAAAACTTTATAATGTAATTGTATTATTTTATTAGCTATAATAATAAAGCAATAAAAATGTTTAACAAGTAAAACAATGCAAAGCTATGTATAGTAACACTTAATTCTCCCCTGCCCATTCCCCTCACAGAAACTTTCAAGGCCTTCTCCATCCTCACACATACACTATGTTTTACAGTACTTTTAGAAAGCAATAACCTGCCATTTTTTTTCATTAAGTCTTTTAAGTAAAAATGGTGCCATCTCTATGCTTCCTATTATCAGAGAAGTAGAACTTCTGGATATCTGTGGGGGTCACATTTATTTACAGGTTTCAGATCCTCTCTAAGCTCACCTTGATGAGGTACCCGTTACTAGGAGATAGGCACACAGACTCCATCAACAAACAGCATACTAACAGGAGTTATACATGTTTGTACATCACGCCTGACTCCAGCAAATACTCCAAAATCTAGAAATAATCCTTGGTAATATGAAACCTTAAGACACTAAAATAAATTTATCAAAGATTCAACATCTACTAGTGATCTGTCAAACCGCATTCATAAAGCCTTGTTGCAATGTGCTTGAACAATGCCTAGCACAGGGTAAAGCATTGTGGAATCTACCCACAAGGCCACATCGTCAAGCCCATCACAGGAGAATCACAGACCCAGACCCTCCTGGAACAGGACAGCACACCTAGGGAAGAGCTCAGGGTGGCTGAAACAATTCCGCCCTTTCTCCTACTCCCACCAATGGAATGGAAGTCATACAAAAGTGGTGCCCAAAATACCCCTGCAGACAGAACCACACAGCTTGTGGACCCTCTGGCTCCTGCCTTGTACCACTGTTCTCACTCAGTAGGTTCAAGGAGCAGCACATACAAGCAAGGAGCCATATGCCTCTCTTGGCTCTCAGTTCTGATAATGCGCATAACACTTCAAATTCCAAAACTAAGCTCCCTTTTGTGACCACATGGGAGGCTCAACCACCTAAAATTAAATTTGTCTTGCAAAAGAGGCACACAGGAATTTGTCAACTGGGGTCCTTTAGGAAAATTTTCTCTTGCATAGTTACCAGGCTTCCCAGTCATCAGGTTCCAGCCAAAGGGGACCCATTGGGTTCCACAACCCAGCACGGTTTCAGCCCCAGCCCCTTGAGTGGGCCGTTACTGGAACACTCCTGGCACTGCTCACGCTCAACTTACTCAACCGACAGGGATGGCGTCGGGACCTCTCCAGGAACTGCATCTGAGCTCGAGACAGCTGGTGACCAATGAGAGATTAACACCACAGCCCTGCCGTGGGCTCCAGCTGTTGTTGCAGATGCCTGTCAGTCCTCCCTAGGACAGGCAGATTCAGGTGGTCTTCATGCACAAAGCATGGACCTATGTGTACCCGGCAGCCTATAGAAGGCTAGGCCTGATAAGTTGGGGTGAAAGTGCCAGCTAAGACAGGTGGGAGAGACACAGGACACCTGACAATCATGCAGCAGAGCCACACAGAAGGAATACAGGATTGTGTGCGTCACTGCAGAAGCAACTATGGCAGCCAGAGGGCATCTCCCTGAATCACAGAAGCTGGCAGGCGAGTGCATCCATCTCTATAAATGAGAAACTTGGGTCCGCATTGTTGTCGGCCTCCCCACTATGCAGAAGGCAATTCATTGACAGAGAAGGGTCTCCCCAGGCTTGTGGGCCCTCGATGGAAGATCCCTCAAATGCAGCAGCAGCAGCAGCAGCTGCAGGCCCTGCAGTCGCATCAGTCTGTACCCCAGAGGTGGCTGGCCCTGCACAGACTCCAAGCCCAGCTCGGCCACACCAGCACTTCGCAGGGACTTGTCTGCCCTCATGACAGAATGCACTGGAATGAAGTACAAATAATGTCAAGAGCAATGCTATTTGGACCTTTGAATCAGTCCTTTTTATTTGGTTGGAGAAAAAGTAATCTTAACTTGGAGATTGTGTTTTAATGATGTATAATGTAATGCTTTAAAAAGTCCTATGAATTGCATGACTATTTCCTCCTCAATTTTCAAAAAAATCAACTTCATATCTGAAACATGAACAGC